AAAACAATACAATTCTAAACCCTTAAAATGACTATTATGAGCCATATTCCTTCTCTGTATGTCAAACATCCCAATATGCCCAGTAATCCTGAATGTGTGACCAGCAGACATTGTAATCCTTATAAATCTATAGGCATCCTTGTCGTATTGACTTTCAGATTGTAGCAGGTTTGAGAGAGAAATCAGTCTCAGCTTTTTGGGCAAACAAAATACTAGCAAAATGTGTAAATATGTTTCAATCTCTCTCCAATCCTATTTTGACTGCTTGACTTACTGATATTGTTAAAAAGAAAAAGTGTTTTCTTAATTTCTTGTGCTTCTGCTCACAATTCAGAATAAATACTCTATTTATCTATTGTCCTGCTGAATCTGATTATCTCTCTGTACAGACATTGTGTTAAGAGTACAAGTGTTGTGGAATGACCTTCGCTTCAACAGCATCAAGAACGTTTGCATGTTTGACTTGCACTACAGTAGTCATGGGAACAGCACTGTGAATAATTGAAGTACAGGCTTTCTTAGAAATAAAGGATCATCTCCTTTGCAACAAAATGAGACTGCAAACACTCATTGACAACCAATCACTGGCTACTCATTTGCTGAAACTTAATTTATCAAATTATTTTATTAATGTTTTATCTATTTCCATTTCATACTGACTTCTTTTCACAAATACAGATTTTTTCACAGAACAGACCATCAAAAGTAATGATATTTTTCACCAATAAACATCAAATATTAAATACATACTCTGTATCTGGGACGGGAGAACAGAGAATGCTGGGAAGAGCCCTCCTCCCTCCCCCCCCCCTCCTTGATAGCTACACAAAATATGATGACTTGTTAAACTTGTTTTTATTTTTCACGTAAAAAGGACAACTCTCTTTCCTGATGTGGTGCACTTAATGACCCCCCAGGCAAAAAACATGAGTTGGTATTTCAACATTCACTGAAGCTAAAAGTCAAGAATGACTAATTGCCCAGCACTTAAAAAGCCAAAGCATGCTTTGTAAAATGTCACACCACCCACAGCAAAAAAGTAATGCCAACCTAAAAATGTAAATCAATTATGTATGTTACATATTCTTGACTCCTAGCATGTTGCACTATTTATATCATCACAATAACCCCATCAAAATGATCATTTTCAACTATTGTATTTCAAAACTGCTTTTGTTATGACAAAATTACATACCACTAAATTGTGAAAAAAGTACAAAAGAAAACATTTATCTGTCAATTTCTCATTTGAATATGAGAAATCAATTCCCTCTGGGTGTGATATAGTCACTTATATTGTATTATATATATATTCAGGTGGATTAATAAACAGGCATCAATTTTTTAGTTTTTCAAACACTACCCATTCTGCTTCTACAGAATTTCCGTTAATCAATGAGCCAACCCAGGGGATTTTCCAGCCAAAATGAATTTTCCTTGGGTGAAGAGCAATTTCAGATTGGCACGCCTCCTCTTGATTCCAATGTACTCGTATAATCACCTGCTTTTTTGTACTCTCCTCAAAGCCAGGAGGCAGGGTGTTAACCTCTTTATTTTACTGATTCCTGCAGGGTACGTTGGATCAATCTAAGCAGAGTGATAGTTTCATTGGGAATGAACCCCTAGTTGTTTCCAATTTTGACCAGACATACAAATTTGGCCATCAAAGGTCACATCTGGTCATGTCTTACACAAACAAAATAAAAGTTAATTATAACTCATTAAATTATAACAGATAATTTTTGGGTGATAATAATCACAAGTTTGGCATGTTTTCTTTTCATCCAGCCACTATGCATCAACTGACAAACTGCAATTTCAATATTCATATTTATTATAACTTTCTTTTTAATGCTGTACATAAAAATGTATGTTACTAGACCCTGGCATGCTCATGTACCTTTGCTACACAAATGAAGTAATATCATTAGTGTTTTCTTAGAAGCAGTCTTTTCTTTAATATAATTGCATGGATTTTACTTGATTTCTAAATAAGAGAACAAAGAAAGTCTATCCAACCTCTTGTCCATAAGCCAAGAAAATGACCTAGCATGTTCTTTGTTTTTTACAAATACTTCTATAATATTGACCAATTCATTGATTACAGCATGGAGTTGTTAATTTTTTCTGATGTAGCAGCAACTCAACTTCTGTACAACAGCAAAGCAATGTTAAGCCGATGTATTAAACGTGCCTCTTGTCCCTTTGAGTCAACAGAAGTATGACCTCAACTTATGTGCTACATTAATCATTGTTTGGCTGATAAATGATATGTCTGTTTTTCAGCTTATTTGGAAATACAACCAATCAAAAGTAGTGATATCGGATACCATCATCATCACTTGATTCACTAGAATCACTACTATCATCACTAAGTTCCTCAAAGTCTTCATAACCATCTTCTTCAGAATCGTCTTCATCACTTTCATATGTCCAGTTATTGTTACGGTTAGTTTCTATGAAATGATAAAGTGAAAAATAATCACTTAAAAGTCAGTGTCTACATATCATCTTATGGTCTGAATATGAATACTCTTATTAAAAATAAAAAAAGTCAAGTACTTAATTATAGGTTGTTTCATTGCAAAGTTAACAGCTATCATTTTAAAATACTGAAGAATGTTTTTATGAAACATATAAAACATTTTATAAGGCTTTATTTCAAATTACTTACTGTACTCGGCAACAAATTTCATCGGGTCAAACTTGAGCTCAGTTCCAGGATGTTCTGATTCAAATTTCTTTTTGGCTTCTTTTCCAGCCTCCTCCATTTCCTTCCTGTGTAGCTCAAACACGTCTGTGTCTGCCGGGCACCTGAGGGCATTTATCAAACATTTCTGTGAATTATATCATTAAAAGACACAAAACCCTGTTATCCATCAAACTTTAAAATTCACAATCATCTAACTCCTTTTAGAGAGTGTACTCTAAGTACCATCTAATGCCAGAATTACTACAGTAACAGATAAAATTGCAGTTCCAATATGGTTACTGAAAAAATCTTAAAACTTTTAAAAACAAAAGGAACTGAAAAAAAGTGTTTTGAGTTCAATTGCTACAACCACGGAAGCACTCAGAGAAGGAAGACCTCCACCAAGACAAATAATTAACTAATATTTAATCATTGGAACATCACCAAAATTAAATCACTTTCAAGTTTTCCTGAAAATTTCATCAGATTCCATTGAAACTTTTTAGTTAGGGTGGTGGCACACACAAATGGAGGTGAAAGCATAACCCCCTTAGCAGAGGTAATCAATGATTTCATGGTGTAAACTATAGATATATTGATGTCATACAGATAACACTGAGAAACAAACGAAATGATAAAACTATCATTATCTCTCAAATAATGGAACACTTAAAACAGTAGCTGACACATGAGGGGATCTTATATGGGTAACTACAGATTAGCCTGTTACAAAAATAAAGAAAGTTAAACAAATAAATAAATAAATAGGATGGGTTTTCACACGTTGACTAAACCTGTTAAATCACTTACTGTCCTTTCCTATCTCCAAAATGGGAATAATCTCTGATGGGCTTACGGCACACGTAGCACATGGATGCTCCACAGGAACAGGTCATCTTGTTACAGCCTTCCACCTTGTAGAAACGTTTCTTACATTTCCAGCACGTCCTAAGCATGGCTTCTGAGATCTTGTTCTCTATGAAGGTTCTCATGCTGGTCTCCCCTTGTCTTTCCACTTCATCACAGTGGAAAGGAACATGGTTTGGTTCCTTGCATAACCTAAGGGGGAGGAAAAAAAGACTTTTAGTTTGACTGCATACACAGGGGGAATTAACAATATTCAATCTTTCTACGCCTTTTTTCAGCATATACAAAATTACATACTTTATTTAAAATCTTACAAAATTTGTGTCACGCAGATTTATTGTGAAACTCTGGTGTTTCAGCAACTCAAGGCAAATTGACACTGCTATAACCTGAAATAACAACTGTATTCAATGGTGATTAGCTACAATTACCTACCTGCAGGATTCTTTCAGACATTCTGGATTAAGGCATTTAAACACCTTGTCCTCTGGGTTGGACATAATGGTAGCAAAACTACAGAAAGGGCAGCTCACAAGGTCAGGAATGTCCGCTTGGCGAATCTCCTCTTCCTGTAAACGGCGTAACAAGTTGGAGAAGATCTTGGGTGAGAGAACCTTCTGCAGGACTGATGTAGAAAACTCAAACGTACAGTCACTGGTCAAACAGGGAAATTTCGTCTTTGTTTGACCAATCAGTTCTTCTGATGACCTGCGGACACAAGTTTGGCAAAACAAATGGCCATCTGCACAGCTGACCATTTCCTCAAAGAGCACTTCATCGTCATAGCAACATCCACATTCGTACAGCTCTTTCTTCTCCCGTGCTTCTGCTATCTTGGTCTCACGTTCTTTCTTTTGCTCCTCCAGGTAATCTGAGAAATCAAAATTAACAATAAAAAAATGTCTGAAAAGCGTAAAGCAAGAGCAAAATAAAAATATAATAATGGATAATAATAGGTGTTACTTAATCAAAGCAAGTTTTAGCAGAGTTTGACAATCAAATATCCTTTGATTTTATTCATTAATTGTAAAGATTCTACACAACACAGAAAATGTTCAGTGAAACATAGCATGCTTTTAACCTTTTATATCCTGTTCATGCTGGACAAAAAGCATTTCCTTGATCAAAATTTCATCCACTTCACTGGGAAGTTTCTCTTGTCTCCTTCGTTTCTTCAAGAATTTTTCAGAACGTTTTTTCCTCCCTAAAACATATAATTAAAGAAAAATCAATGTAAATGAAATTGTTGAATTATTACTTATAAAAATTCAGATGACTTAAATAGTTTATTAAATCTAACCAATTATATACTTTTTCCCTTCATCAAAATTTCCTGCACCGATTTCAAAAATGTCAAAAGCCCCATTATTTTCAACATTACTTTCCAATATGGAAATATTTATTGAAAAAGCTGGATGAAATAGTAATATGTTCATCAATATACTTGCCTCTAAAATCTCCAGCTTCCTCTGCCAGCTCTCTTACTGTGGGTGCGAAGTGGAACTTATGCTTCTCAAAAATGGTTCTTATGTAAGGGTCCTTCATAAGGGGAAAGTCATTCATAAGTTGTACAATGGCACAATTCTTGTAATTATTGCTCACTGGTTTCGCTTCATCATAGAAGTACGTCTGTGGATCATCAAACATCTGCAGAAATTCTTTGATATCAAAGTGAGATCTCATCTTTTCCAGCTGTTTTTTCTTGGCAAACTTTTTCTGTTTCTCTATAACATCTTTCAGCCGGGGAAAGTTTTTGGTTTCCAGCATCTGAGCTGCTAAATGTTTACTCCTTTCTGGGTCATTTTCCCTCATTATAAGTGCCTTAACTAAGTAGTCCGGGTCACAGTCTGGAAAAATTGCTTTTAATTCTTCTACCTCTATTTCAAGCCGAGTCTTTGGGGTATCATCAAAGACTGCTGGTGTATTATGACTTTTGTCTTCAGTACTATGATTAGTGCCTTTATCCTCACCCGAAGCTGTCTTTACATCATGCAGCATTTCAAAACTTTCTTCTGAATTTTGACTGCTCAATGGAGTAAGTTTCACATTTGTTCCTTCTTCATCTTGACTTCCACCCTGCATTCTCAAGAATTCTTCAGCTACAACCTGTATCCTGTTTGGATTTTGATGGTGGGCCTCCAAGTATGCATAGATTTCATTTCTGTCTTTGTCAGGGAACATGCGGGCAAGAAACTGCATGTCTGTGTATATGGGGTCATTATCAAATGTGACCTTCTCTTCTGCATGTCGACTCTTGCTGTTGCTTTCATTATTATCAACTGGGATCACCACTGATTGATTTTCAGAATTACTAGTTTTTCTTGACTTAAGTTCATCAATGACATCTTTCTTTCTAGTATTAATATTGTTTTTCTCTTCTAGCAGCACAAAAATTTCATTAGGATCAACATTAGGGAACAGTTGGGAGATGTGACCAACTTCCTTCATAATATCATCACTCCCTTCATTTCCTTGTTCTTTTGGCACTATTTCATTTTTCTCATCTTTTTCTTTAGCAAGTATAGTATCAACCACAAACTGAACTCTGTTTTCTTTATGCAAATTTCTTTCTAGCAACTCAAACACTATATTTGGATCAACTGTCTTACCAGGATGAAGTATGTGGATAACCTGCACGACTTTATCAACATCCTGCAATAAACTACTCTCTGTGTCTTGGGTATTGTCTTTGGTCAAATCTATAAAACCTTCCTCCACCAATTCATTTGTGACAATATCAACACGGTGAGGCACTTTCCTATTCTGCTCCAATTTCTCATATATTATCTGTATTTCATCTCCTTTATTGAGTACTGAAGCAATCTGCTGTGCATCTCTAAAGACTGATGCTTCTTTGAAGATGGAAGGTCGGTCGAGGACTGGTTCACTGGAGGCTGGTTTTAATGAATTTGATACTTCGTTTCTTTCAGTTTCTGTATCGACTACTCTCCCATTTATAGAACCTGGAATATTGGCATCTGGAATGTCAGCACCTGTAGATGCTGAATCTATCTCATCTTTATCAGAATCAATTGGAAAATGTGGAGAATACTCTGGACTATAAGACAAAGTATACCTCAATGTCCCTTCAGTTTCCAAAGAACCACTTTCATTTTCTGGACCTGTATCTTTTTGGTCAGGTTGAACACTGTTTTTAGGGCTGTCCACTTTATCTGTTGTCTCATGCTGGTGTCTGCTGTTCATAGACAAATCAGTGTTGTAATATCCATCTTCACTATCACTGATACTGTGCAGTCTTCTTGGTTGCCGACTGACAACTTCCTCACTTTCTTCATCACTGCTTATGCTGTGGTAAAAAGCAGTCCTTGCTTTCTTGTTGTCACCTGACTCAATTCTTCCATTTATTTTTCTCTTTTTCTCTGTGCTACATGTGATGGGTCCATCATCCTCATTGACTACCTGACTCAATGTTTGATTTTCCATACTGATCAGGTCACTTTACAGATACACCCTGTAAAAAAAAATCTGACAATCAAATGTCAAAATAATAATAAAAAATAATTGATACAAATATGTTACTTGGTGAATGAGTTTAAATGAAATCCTGCTATTTGAATTCCATTTTTTACAGGAATTTAGTCTTCATGAGAAACAATCAGGGCTACTTTAGGGGGCGGGGTTAGTGGAAATGGGATTCTGAGGAAGGGGGGGGGTCTAATTCCTAAATATTTTAGATTTTCATACTTCCGGACTTTAAACAATTCCATACCCTCTTCATATGATATGGCCCTATCGCAAGTATGAACAAAAAAGTCTATTTTAAAAGAAAAGAAATATAAAACATGACAATACCGAAAGACTTGTTGGCTAGTACAGTACTGCAGTTCAACTCAAGGGTTTGAAACGACTGGACTCTGAAAAGTCTAATGTTAACTCTAACAGTGACAAGCTACGCAATTTCAGTCCAGACGGATTACCTTATTTTAACTGTACCACGGCGTTAGATTTTCTTCTGACTCCCTATCAAGGCGTATAGGCATAATAAGTGAGAGACGAGATCATGGAGATGCACTTTATACTATAAGCTCGAAAGGTTTCGATTTTGACAGACAGTTCTTGCCTCGGCTTGTCGACTTCCTGTTTACGTCCCACTTCTCGCGAGAAGTGGGTCATAAAAACAGGAAGTAAACAAACGCACATGGTTTTCTTTGACGGCAGTTGTCAAAATCAACGCCTTGGTTTAACTTTAAGGCCTTACTCTAGCCACCATATAAACTTATACGTACCGACAAGTAGAGTAGAGCCCTACACTAAGGCAATCATAATATACTATGAGTCGGTGAATATGCATATATCCATCTGTAAGTTGTAAAATGAAAAACAGATACAAGAAATCGTTTAATTAAATTAATATCAGTTACTTGAACCATTTCTTTCTTTGGCTGTCAAACATAAACTTAGAGAGTCATGGTTTGGTATATAAAAATTCATATTTGAAGGCATTCTTATTCAGTTAATTAGAGTGTCTGATGTGATGCAATGTCATTTTGATGACTTCTTCACTATTTGGATTTCCAGAGAGCCCATTATTTCTAGGCCATTTAAGTGAATGTATCATATTTCCCTATCCATCAAATGAATAACACCAGCTACACAATGGAGATAATGCCACATATTATTTGGGATAACTTATTTGTAGATATTCCATCTGCACCAATTAAGAGTGTCAATGATACTACATAGATAATAGAATAATAAGGCACTGGACATAATTCACATATAATCAAAGGGGTAATCCCAAAAGTCCTTTATCTTGAAAATAACTGAAGTCTGGACAACATACATATTTGTGATTACTGTCCATTTAAATAAGCCTTTGTCTACTAATCTAAATGACCACATTGCCGTATGGTATTTTATGTCTCAAGGGACACTGGACAAGGTCTTGGTGTGAAAATGACCATTTGGACAAAGAAGTCATAATTATGAAAGCAATGGTATCTAACACCTCCAGTTTTTTGTCTTTATGATTTTAAAAAATAATTAGACATTGCTGACCAGTGGTTAAACTAGATAAATTCCCTATGGAAATAACCCTTCTGATATTCCCTTGCTGTGTGATATCTTAAATTGAAAATGAAAAAAAAAAATAAATAAATAAATAAAAATAAAAAAAGCATTGTTCAGAAGAAAAAATGTGCCAGACAGGTTATTTGCACAGTAAGATAATGTTTCATATATTCTTTTGTTTGATTTTTCAATACTTGACACGAGAAGAACAAGCTTACATAAACTGTCATAACAATATGGAGAAATACACACATTTTACTGTTAAATATGTTAAAACAATGTCACTGTTGGCTGTTGCTATTAATTTAAACAAAATGCACATGGGTTTGAATCTTGAAGGAAATCAACAAATTGAAAAAAAATCTAGTTAGATAGTTTGAGACCTCACCAGTATTTTTCCAATCCATCTGAAGTTCTAATATAAGGCAACATCATGGTCCTCCTCCCCTTTCCCCTCTATCCTCAGTAGTATAATATGTATGTTGCAGTTGCTGAAATGTTATGGATATTTAATGGATTCTTTTTGTGAAAAAAAATTCTGGAGGTAGGTGAAATTTTTACTTGTCCAAACCATGCTACCTGGATTACAAAAATTTTTTTTTGACAATTTAAACATTTGCAAACTTTCACTGTTTGTGGCTTTCTCATTGGAATAAACAATGTATTATTCTAAATATCCCATTGTGACACAATAAAAATGAAAGGTGGCTAATATCATAATTAGTTTATTTCGATGAAGTATTTACTTCACTGAAACCACACACACTCAGTAAAAATGAGCAAAGGCATACATAAATATTTCGACATACATTTATTGTCAAGAAATAAAATGCAGTTCCAATACATTTTGAAGACTAAGTTGGCCACAAGTTTCACATATGTATCTTTAAATATCATATGCATTGAATTGAAGATTACGCAAAAGGACAAATGCATGAGGATTGAATGACATCCTCCAGTATTTAGCAACATCAATATGATGAATTTTTATGTTAGTTTCAACAATCAGTAAAATTCAGTACAGCCCTTTTCTATATTAATCAATATGTTGCCAATGTAATGATACTTTCCACTTATTTATGCATCTTCATATCCTGAAATTACACAATTAAGTGACCTGGAGCACTTTTCACAAAAAGTAAGTAGTCAATTTTGGGCTGAAATTTTTTCCTGCCAAGACTGATAAAGTGGCATTTTACAAAGAATCTAGTCACCCACAAACTGCTTTTGGTCATTTTACTAAGACTCTTCAGCAAACTGTGATTGCCTAGATTTAAGATGTTACTCTCACTACACTGGTAATAATAGCCCATTTAGATATGTGAAATACATTTATTGAGGGCCAATCATTCTCAAAAACTCCTAAGATCCATATCACTACTCTAAATATAAAATAAGCTAAAATTAGATATCTGACTACCCTTAGCAAAATATCATGCCCGGTGAAAACTTCTCGCAAATTTGCTGCAAATGAGCAGCAATACAAATTTTTCTTGCAAACTCCTTGCTGCAAACTTGTCATTTTGCTAAGGGTATGTAAAGTTGATTATGTCATCATCATCACGTAGATATCAGAAGTATTCACATAGTGAGGATGATGACAAATTAGATTTGCTGTAGTTAACTTATTTTAGTAGTCAAAGCATAGAACAAGAACTTTTTGTGAAATAGGTCCACATATTGCACTACATAAAATTATAATTATCCCATTGTGTTTGTTGAGAAACGGCACAATATTTTTCCCAGCTGGGGAAGAAAATTGTGACTTTATAAATTTTCAAAGGGATAAAGCAGATTTCAGGAAAAATTTAAGACTACAATTCTTCTCAGTCTATAAAAGAGACTATAAGGGCATTATCTTTCATCAGTGCACACAGTGTTTTCTCCTAAATTACTCTCTCCTTAAAACTAAATTTAGTCTGTCCTTTAATCTTCCAGTCTTTTACACCGGAACTCGCACTTGGGATTCAAAATTTTCTGTCTCATCCCAAACCCATCTAAAATGCAAATGGACTATTTTCATCTGAAAGTACACAGTACATTAACCTGCAGTCATTCTTATATACTACATTCAGAATAAATAAATAATGTCTTACTGTATGGTCCTGTATCTCAGCAACATGAGCAGTGGTAAGGAAAAAAAACATTGAAAAAAACACCTGCACAATATTGCAATGTCTTTAACAAAGGTTTACTCATTTTTCTTATTTGGTAATGATAGATATCCACACCATAATGTTATTATAGTTAGCTAAAATCTGAGGACAAAAGTGTCTTTATGTGCACCATTCCCATTCTCCTCCCTTGGAAAACTATAAAGGTGTAATATACACTTTTTATGTAGTTTAATTGATATTCTAGCTAACTGGATTTCTTTTTCATGAAAAATTTCCAGTATATGACTCCTGCTAGAATAGCCAGCTCCACTAGAATTATCACAACTAATATCATCTTGTTTGTCATCACCCTGAAAGAAAACGACATCAGTAAATCAAGAATTCTTCAAAATAAATAAATCTAATTCTTTATCACCAAAAAACCTTTCATATTTTCAAATACACCATAATTGGATGCTGTCTTAAATCAATAAAATCATATTCCTGAAAGAACTTTAAGTCTTTAATAATTATGTCTATAAATAGGTCTTAGTGACTCATACCTTCTTCCCATACTTTTCAGAATGCTTCTGCTTTTTGTTAAATTTTGTTGTGTATCAACAAGCTGTCAAGATAAAAGATATGATGATATTTAAAATTATAAAGAATGGAATCCAAATAAATAAATCATAATGAAAAGCCACAAATTATTTTAACGGTGAAATGAATGAGTCCTCCTTCAACAATAAATATGTTTTCTATGCAAAATTTATATTTCTTTCATATAAACAAGGATGTGGGTTACAATACAATGTACGTAGCGTGCACCAACCCATTTAATTAATCAACAATATAACACAATTACTCACCCTATCTCTTGTTCGAAGCAAAGCCTCTCTCTGATTGGCTAGCTCCCCAACAGTATCCTCTGCTATCTGGTCCGTCTCTGCTGCTATCCTGTGTGACCGCGCTATGCTCTCTGTGCCTCTTTGGAGGGATTCAGTGCCTTGTACTAGCTTGGCCCTCTGGGAGGCAGCCATTGCCTGTTCAACCCAAAGGTTCATATGGATTTAAATATATATGAAACTATGCTTTTGATAAACAAGGAAAAAATAGATCTAAAACCACATTCAGAAAAAGTTGATCCGCAGATAAAATATGGCCAATCCACTTGAAAACTTGCTGTATAATCCCTAAAAGATACTGAATAGAATTCCACAGTGATTACCCAGTAAGCCTTCAAGTGGGTCGGCCATATTTGATCCACAGATCTGTTAGTGTGCATATCAACTTTGGTTGCAAATGCTGCCTTACACTAGACTTAACAAGTAATAAAACAATTCTATTCGAACTAAAGTAGTCCATCTTTTACACATAATCAATTTTAATTTTTGTAAAAATAGTTACTTTAAAAACTTCATCTAGTATGAAAACATTTTGCAATTGATTTACATACATCTAATTCATTTCTCCCTCCAAAGTCATCTCTGCTTCCAAAACCACTGGTATTTCTTTTCTGGAATACAAATTACTTTTTGTTTAATATATAATTATGAGACTACTATAGCAAGATTTAACACTGATAAACATTGGAATTAAATAGAATGTTGGTCAAATATTTCAATAAAAATCGTCATTTTGTCTGCAGTATGCCCAGATATATACGACACTTTGTAAAGTAAATTCTAGCATACCAGATCCCTGGATAACTGATCAAGGTTTCTCCTGTAGTTCCTCAGCCTTCCCATCATGTCTGTTCGGTATGATATGGGTGCCATCTTGGCCTCCCTTTCCATTTCTTGGAGCTGAAATAAATTTTTAGCAAATCATATGAAAAAAAAAAAGTTAAATATAATAACGATATCCCTGTACATGTACACATATATATGTCAGTAATCATTCTGAAATAACTCAGTTTTTAATTTTAGAGTAAGTTTGCATATATTAATAAACAATCAATGGAAAATGTTTTTCATTTTTATAAAAACACCAAGTAGGTTTTTTTCTTGTTAACTGTAATTCAAAATTGTCAAAAATCATATATCTAACAAAAATCCCTAAACAATAAACTTAGTTACAAACCAAAACATTCTCATCTTCAAATCCTCTCTCCACTTCACGTATTAACCGTTTTCTTTCCTCTGGAAAGATAAATAAATAAAGTAAGAATATGTTAAGTCGACACTTTTATTTTATTTATTTATTTTAGTGGGGTGGTATCCAGCATTGAGTCGTTATTAAACATTCAATATGCGTTTAATAGACTGGAAGCCTACAAGAAAATGCAACAATTAAAATTTCATGAAAAAATTACGGTCAGGCCACTGTAAAACTACAGTGAACAGAAAACTAAAGCAAAAATCAAAGGTAAACAAGACTCTTGATACATACCTCCTACACTCCGGCCAATTCTCTCTCCAACTTTTAGCCTCAGATCATCATATACTGTTTGAAACTCTTCTTCTGCACGTTCAAACTTTTCAGAAGACATTTTTGACAGTATATCTGATCACAGCATTGTCACGATGGGATTTTTTAGAGTTACACAGATTTTGTCACATGAGCTGTCTTCTTAAAAACTCAAATCTGCTCTCCTAATTGTGAAGAGCTTCAATTAATGTTATGACAGCCACATTTTTTCACGAACAGACATAGTCTTTTCATTTTGCACACTTCTTTTAAAACAGCTCACCAAAATTTGACTATTAAAATGTTTGATGCGAGCAACGTTAGATTTTTTTTTTGCATTTTTATTATTTCTGGGTGGAGATTATCTTGCAACTCCCCGGATGTCAGCAGACCTCTCGCCATTTTCAGCGGTGAATCCATTGAGTGAGGAAGGCGGTACCGGTGCCCGCTTTCTATTGAAGATCCTCTGCTTTTGCTGGACTGTCAGCCTCATTCACCATGGCTGACAGTGGCAGCGAAGCCGAGGCACAGTCTCAAAATGTGCAGACTGTCGCCGATGTATCCGTTTTTGCAAATTATTTACGCCGAGCAATCCCTGTTATGCTGGAAGATGGAGACGACACTCCCAAAGCTTTGCACGATGCTTTGAAAGAAAAGAACAAACTTGAGGCCATCAGGAAGTTTCTGAGTGACTCGCAAGTACCTGCTCTTTTAATACAGAGGTGCAGTAATAAGGGTAAGGCAGTGTATTCTACTTGTCAGTGCTCTGATTCGAGGTAAAAATCGATTCCGCCATCTTCGTTTATAATCTATTATCATAATGTTGGATGAGTCATCGATAGATGACATCATGTTCAATAAAAATGTCTACATTTTAGATATAGATGGCATGCTTTGAATAAAAGAAGTGGCAGTTATTTTGTAGCATATTGGGAATAGATTATTACAAAATATGAAACTTAAGTTCCAACCTTTTTTTTTGTGCTTGTCGCAGGAAATGTTACAAATTCACCAATTTAGCATTCACATTAATATTTTACTCCATTAGTATAATAAAATATTAAAATGTCCTCTTACAGATGCTGGAGATACAACAACTCTCTTGTGGTGACTTGACTTTGTTAGTGCAAGGCTGCAAGCACTGTCTTTATTTTGCATAATAAACACTTGTAAGTTGTAAAACACAAATGAGATAAGATTTTATTTATTGTAAAAATTGATTTGACTTTTCAGATGAGGTTGGTGGAGAGGGTGAAGGAGATGTGGAGGAGGTGATCACCTATGATATTGCCTCAGATGTGCATTTTACCAGTGCAAGAATGGCAAGGTAATGCAAGATCTGCTGCACTTAAAATTAATTTGTACATTACACGTTTCATATATTACATGATACGATTAAATAATTTGAGTCATTTATAAAAATATTTTGTGATCTTAAATACACGTAGCTTTTGCATAGTTTCAGTTAAAATTAATTGGTGCATATATATTTTACAGCGTGGTCATCATCAAGCGTGGCACTATCATTGAAGCTGATAAAAGTATAGCATCCCAGATAAGATTGATGAGTCTCAGTGATGGCTCGGCATATGAGACCCTCCACTCCTTTGTTGCCAATGCAGTGGCACCTTTCTTCAAGTCATTTGTGAAGGAGTCTGGCAAAGGAGAAAGGTATGCGTTATCACTTTGATTGGTGTTGTCTTTTTGTTTTGATAATTTTGAGTAACAAATTACATTGTCCCATTCTGGACTGGACTGCATTTGAAAACAAAAAGTTGCAATTTGAAACAGATTTAGAATTCACTCTTTCATGATGGTCAAATTCAAGAAGGCACTGGTGGGCTTGCTATATTATAGCAATTTGAAAAATAAAATTTAAGAAATAAGAAAATGAAAGAAAGAGCAGGTAATTATAAGCAAAAAACTATTTAAGCATCTATTTTGTGAACCATTTTTGATGATAGACATATTAAAAAGGTTATCATAATGGTTTTACTTCGCTCGTTATCCTAGGGATGGTGACAAGATGGCCCCATCAGTAGAGAAGAAACTGGCAGAGCTAGAGATGGGTCTGTTACACCTCCAACAAAACATAGACATCCCTGAGATCACTCTCACAGTCCATCCCACAGTGGGCTCTGTCATCAAGAAGGCTGCAGATGAGAGAAGGAAACCATCAGTGAATGATTTTGGAGATAAGATAGAAGATGCACAGTTCCTGAATGCACTGCAAGGTGGTGTGGGACGCTGGATTAGGGAGATACAAAAAGTAGGCCAACTTCTATGCTGTCTCTCTGTGGATTAAACTTTGCACAGAATGAAAGAAGAATACTTCACTGTATTTGAAACCAATGTTTTATGTGGTTTCTTTACACCAAAATAGTTGAAGTGATAATCGGTATGAATCAGTATGATTTTTTTTTCACACAGTTGTATTTCAGCTGGACACTGTCTGTTTTCATGCCATTTTTATCATCCCCCATGAAAACGGGTCATATGTCAAGTACCACTAAATTGAAGTTGTTTCTCACAAATATAACATGCACTTATTAACGGATATTTCCCTAATTAGGTCACCAAATTGGACCGAGATCCAGCCTCTGGTACAGCCCTACAAGAGATCACCTTCTGGCTCAACCTGGAGAGAGCTCTGCTGCGCATCCAAGAGAAGCGAGAGAGCCCAGAGATAGCCCTGACTCTGGATGTCTTGAAACATGGGAAGAGGTTTATTGCCACAGTTGGTTTTGATACAGACACAGGTCAGTACATATTCAGTTGTAGTTGGATGATGGAATTTTTCATAAGTGAATTTGGTACAGAATTTTGAAAGGAGATGAATGTCTTTTATTCAGTTTTATTGGATCTCAAAGCTTACTCTTTACCAATGAATATATTGAAAATGAATTCTTCATTTTTCCCAGGCCTGAAGCAGGCTCTGGACACAGTCAATGACTACAACCCACTGATGAAGGACTTCCCCCTGAATGACCTGCTGTCAGCCACTGAGCTGGACAGGATCAGAGCAGCTCTACAGGCCATCTTTACACACTTGAGGAAGATAAGGAACACCAAGTACCCCATACAGAGAGCTCTGCGCCTTGTGGAGGCTATATCCAGGGATCTCAGCACACAGTTGTTGAAGGTTTGTTGTATTTTTTGTGTTGGTATTGACTGAGTCTTTATTTTCTTGTAATGCCAAAAAACTGTTATGTAGACAAGAAATCCCATAATGCGAGAAATCTCTTACTAGCTGCTGAGGATGCTTTCAGATGTAAGTTTCAATAGTAATGCTCATACTTCTCTTTTGTAGGTTCTTGGTACAAGAAGATTGATGCATATCCCATTTGATGAGTTTGAGAAAGTAAGTCTTTAAAAGCAGTTAGCCTTCCTTTTGAATATGCTGGCTGAAATATAGAGGGCTCATTTAGACAAATTACTTTGTTACATTAGTCTATTTACAACTCAAACATTGATATTTCATAGACCAGAAATTCTGATATGCTATAATAAAGTCTAGAACAGTGTTTGGGAGAAAATAGTGAAATAATTCATTGTGGTGTAGATGGAGATGCTATTTGTTTTAGGTGATGGGAGCGTGCTTTGAGGTGTTCAGCACCTGGGATGATGAGTATGACAAGCTGCAGGGCCTGCTGAGAGATATAGTGAAGAAGAAGAGAGAAGAACACCTGAAGATGGTCTGGAGGGTCAACCCTGCCCACAAGAGGCTGCAGGCCAGGCTGGATCAGATGAGGAAGTATGAGGGCCTTGGTTTTGTTGAAAGTTGTTATAGATGTTTAGGTTGAGGTTCAGCTTCTTTTGATTTTTGTCAGTCTTTAAGCAGGCCCGTAGCCAGGGGGGTTCGGGGGGTTCGAAAGAACCCCACATTTTGCTGTTAAAAGGTCCAGTCTAGGTAAAATTTGACCTAGGTACATGGGGATTATATGGTAAAAGGCCCACTTTTATGGTAAAAGGTTCACTGTAATACTCTTCTGCTAGCATGAAGGGACAATTGATGTATGAAAAAAAAAATTTTTTCCCCAAGGTTCCGTCGCCAGCACGAGCAGCTACGCCAGGTGATAGTGCGTGTATTGCGCCCAACGACCACAAAGAGAGCTGGCACACCAACCAGTGATGAAGTGGACAACAAGATTACTGACATGCCAGCTCTGGATGCTGCTGATGCCAATGCTATAGAGGTGGGCTAAATTGTCTGTCTACTTAGAATGGTCAATTTTTCTGGCAGCTTTCTCTGATACATAGTTTCTTCAGAGTTATTTAAAATGTGGATGTGAATTAAGATGGTAGTCAAATAAAGGCATAAATTAAACGTAATGCTGGAACACGGATATATCAACTACAACTTTCGCCACACAATTTAACACAATCAGAATATTTACAGAGTCGTTAATTAGTTTGCTTGTAAAGGTGGACAAAGAAAGTTATCAGAAAAGAGTGTATAATAAAGATAACTCTGTTGAACATGTAAATTTTATGTTGATAAACATACTGAGATACCGTGGAGATATGTTTACTATGGAAAAAACCAACTTTGGTAGTATTTTACTCTTAAAATTAGCTGATGTTACTTTTCTGCCACTAATATTTATAAATGTCTGCATTATAGGAAGTAAACCTGGCTTACGAGAATGTGAAAGAAGTGGATGGACTGGATGTGTCAAAAGAAGGCACAGATTCTTGGGAAGCAGCTATCAAAAGGTAGAAAATGTTGACAGTTGTCTGATTCAGATTGATTGTAAATGTATTAGTCATATAATGGTAATCAATAGTAATCAATCACAAAATTTGATTTATATTGATACAAATATGATTATATCACCACCTGTGTCTTTAAGATTTTATTGTTAAGAATATGACAGTGTTTGGAAGATGCCTCTGACAAACCCAGTCTCAAATGCAGTAAAATTGTTGCAATCATTATTCTCTTTCTTAGCTAAATATTAAGATTTTTTGCCATGTTATATTTGATATTCCTTACAGATATGATGAACGCATTGACCGTGTAGAAACCAGAATCACAGCTCGGTTGAGAGATCAGCTGGGAACAGCAAAGAATGCCAACGAGATGTTCCGCATCTTTTCTCGCTTCAATGCCCTCTTTGTGCGCCCTCATATCCGTGGAGCCATCCGTGAATATCAGACACAACTTATACAGAGAGTGAAGGATGACATTGAATCACTGCATGAGAAATTCAAAGTAAGATTTAATGGAAAGAAGGGCACTCCTACATAACTAAATAGATTTTGTAAAAGCCGGTGTACTATTGATAATGATCTAGAATATATATTTTACATTTGCAATCTTTTAAATAGAATATTGGACTTTCCTTACAAAGTTGTTAAAATTAAGTCTTAAAAAATTTATAAGCCATGTCTGTCTACCATATCAGACCTACAGAATTTTAATCCTTGAAGGCCTTTGGATTCAGATATCAGTTTTTTCTGTCTGCATTTTTTTTCTCTTATGAAATATTAATCTTTTAACTTCCTCATATTTCCAGGTACAGTATGTGCAGAGCAAGGCATGTAGGATGAGCCGTGTGAGGGACCTCCCACCTGTGTCTGGATCCATCATCTGGGCTAGACAGGTAATGCAAAATTTGAAGTTCTCTTTTGAAATTCATTCGTGTTGTGTTTCTTTTAAAATGTCTTGATTCCTGAAATATTGAATCAGAGGTATGTACCTTATGTTATCAAATTTTACATTTGTACACTTCTCTTCCACTTGTCTGATATAAATTAGAATTAAATTTTGCTTTTTTACAATGCTCCTTCTGATATAAGATCTCAGTTCTAAGACTGTATTGCTCTATTTTATACTCTTTCATTCTATTATAAGTAATAAATATTGCACTTGATCTTCTGTAGATTGAGCGCCAGCTGAATGCATACATGCGCCGCGTGGAGGACGTGCTGGGTAAGGGTTGGGAGCAGCACGTGGAGGGACAGAAGCTGAAGGCAGATGGAGACAGCTTTAAGATGAAGTTGAACACACAGGATGTCTTTGATGACTGGGCTAGAAAGGTGGGTGCCACGGCTAAAATTGGAAGTAAGGCTGTTTGGATAAGAAAGTTGATAAATAAAGTTGGAAGTATGTGCATAGTCTGTAAAAGATGCATACTTTTATAAGTCAAGTTCGTATTACATTAGTATAATTTGTAACTTGCGAATGTCTCAGGTTTGTGTAAATCCCCATTACAAGACAATGTTTTTCAGATGAATTCATTTATCTGTCTATTTAAAATATTAGGTGAATTGTTTGAAAAGTGACGTTCTTTTTCACTTGTACAAGTCCACATGCTGCCATCTATTAAATAATAATATAATGTACTCTGTAGGTGGCAGAGCGTAACTTAGGTGTCTCGGGAAGAATCTTCGCCATAGAGAGCACCAGGTCCAAGTCAGGCAAGGGCAACATCCTGAAGCTGAAGGTGAACTTCCACCCAGAGATCATCACACTGTCTAAAGAGGTGAGTTCAGTGAACCTGTGAGATGATACAGAAACAACAATGTAAAATATGTTTCAGGCACCAGATCTGTTATGCAATATTATGTGGCACAGATGTGGAATATTTTAATTTTTTTTTCTGAAAAACTTCACATGAGAAAACTAGAGAATAGGAAGAACTTTTCATATATTAAACCAGATTAACAATCAGTATTCAAATAAGTTCATAAGGAATTAATAGCAAGAAGGGAGTCCAAAGGATTCATAATATAAACCATCCTCTTCTATTCAAAATCTCCATATTATCCACCAGGTGCGTAACCTGAAATGGCTAGGTTTTCGTGTCCCCCTGGCCATAGTGAACAAGGCCCACCAGGCCAACCAGCTGTATCCCTATGCCATCTCCCTGATAGAGAGTGTCAGGAGCTATGAGAGGACATGTGAGAAGGTGGAGGAGAAGAGCAGTATCTCACTGCTGGTGGCTGGCATGAGAAAGGAAGTCCAGACCTTGATTAGTGAGGTGAGGATGGGTGCTGGGATATTTCTCAGTTTTAAAAAACCTACTGTTTGGGGCTTACTGTAAAAATTTGTTTCAGCCAGCTAGCTGACAGTCAAATCATAATTTAATTAGCAAGCTTATAAAATTAGTAAACAGTGAAATAGTTAATGCTGTCTTCTATCACCTAGCCAAAAATAATGTTTATCCTTAAGGTTAGCATTTAAAATATTTCATAACATATATACATATAACAATAATTGTAATAAATTGTATTTGAAATATGAATGCTAGTTTATTTATAAACAGTGCATCTCTGTCCAACAACATCAAAATTACTTTAAAGCACATTTTGTTCATAATTTGTTTCTGTTATTTTGATCAAGTTGATAATTTGAATTGTGTGTTAATGTGGCATTTTTTGTTCCCTTATTCAGTAGATATTTAATCCAATAACTTGTCTTCATGCTAATTGTCTCTTTTCCTGTATTTCAGGGCATCAACCTGGTGTGGGAGTCCTACAAACTGGATCCATATGTACAGAGACTGGCAGAAAATGTCTTCAATTTCCAGGAAAAGGTAGGCAAGAATTGGATTAGGAATAGAACACACTGTCCTGTATTTGCTTATCATATTAGGAGTTGGTTTTGGTTTTTATGAATATTATAAACTTTCAACATACTTTGATGATAGAAACGTAGATAAAAAAAAATGTTGTTAACTCACTTCCAACAGCTTTGTAGTCATCATGAAGACAGAAAAGGTTGGTTGTGAGAATACTATGACTGCCTCCCCAGTAGCTGGAGCATGGATTCTCTTCATATAATACCTGATTTTCTCTTTGTGTATAGGTTTAATACTTTATGACCTGCTGAGATGTACAGATCTTCAGCTACTATTCTGTTCAGTTAACACACTGTCTTCTGTATATGTAGGTTGATGACTTGTTGGCCTCAATTGAGCTGATAGACATAGAGATCAGGAGTCTGGAGATGTGTGCCTACAATGCCAACACTTTCAGTGACATTCTGGGCAAGATCCAGAAGGCTGTGGATGACCTCAGTCTGCACAACTACTCCAACCTGCCACAGTGGGTTAACAAACTGGACCAGATGGTAAGGGGGGGAAAAGACATTTGTTTATGGATGTGGGGTTCAGTTAGTAAAATTAAATAAGATAGTAGAATAAGGTAAAATTGTTCTACCATAAAAATTTCAATTTTTAAATAATTCGTTAACTTATTCTTGGCCTCAGAGAAGTCGTAAATTTACGTCCTGATTGGAAAAGCACAGCCCACTTTTTCGATCTATTTATTTTGATTTAATTATATTTTCTGTTTGATGCATTCAGTTCTTTGATTCACTTTTGAATATTCCATCTCCTCACAGGTGGAGCAGGTGCTTGCTGCCCGTCTCCAGGCTGGCCTTCATGCCTGGAGAGATGCTCTAGAGGGGAAGGTGGACCAGGAGATGGACCTCAGCATGGACACTGATGCCCCAACACAGGTGACCAATAAACCTGGAGGAGACCCACAGATCAAGGTGACATATAGCTTATATATTATGTCAGATTTTCAGCTGGATCCATCTTTTTAAAGGCAAATAGCTGAACAGTTGAGCGAAGTTGAAACTTAAAACTAAGAATTTGGCAAAGACAAATTTAAAAACAAATTGAAAAAAATTCATTTCCACAGCCATAGTAAACTCTCTCTGGTATTTTGTTAATATTTTATGTGCTAGCAAGAGCCTAGCTTTTTGTCACATATTGTTGATTAATTTTCAGATAATTTGATGTTGGCATCATCTTGTTAATTTACAGGGATTGGTACTTTATAGTGAAATGTAGCTAAATGTTGATTTATCAATATCATAATGATGTTTTCATCAGAAACTTAATTGGTGTAATTAAGACATACACATATATTTTACAGCCCATTGTCCATGAGCTCCGTATCACCAACCAGCTGATGTACCTGGTACCTCCCATTGAAGAGGCCCGCTCCCACATCATGCACGAGATGTTTGAATGGGAAGCTGTCATCACTTCACAGAATAGAATTCAGCACTCCAGATACCAGGTAAGGTTTAGGGAAATCACTGTGACAGTCTGTTGATATTTAGCCTGCTGCCCCTTTTGGACCGCCAGGGTCTAATTAGAATCTATTTGTTCTTAGTTGTTCCTAAGTAGAAACAGTGGTCAATAACCATGCCTGAAACTGTCTTTTCTTTTGCCCAGGTTGGCTTAGATGTGAGCTCAGAAGGAGAAACCACATACCGTAGCCTGCTGACCAAGCTACCAGAGGGCTCTGGTGTGCTGGAGAAGACATATGAATCCATTGATACCATCTTCAAAGAGGCAATGGAGTATGTTGGGGTAAGCAAGTCTGGGTACTTATCTGTCTCTGTATAAGATGTTGATTAGACTAGTTTAAGATCATGATTGAACTATATTGTGCAAGTAGATGTGAAAACCATCTTCAAAGAAGCAATGGAGTATGCAAGCCAAGTGAGTGTAAGAAATTCTTACAAAATACCAGTTTGAGTACATTTTAAGAAGTTTATTTTTATGTTGCTTAACGCAGATAAATTTTATTTGAATTGAACAGTTCTATTGCTTCTACAAATGTTGTATTTCATTCTAGGTGTGGCTGCGTTACCAGGCCCTGTGGGATCTTCAGGGAGATGCTCTGTACAACAGACTGGGAGACAACTTGAAAGTTTGGATGTCCACCCTGGAGAATATCAAGTTAGTCTGGGATAGTTATGATGTACATGCTTTCAAGAATGTATTACCAAGAATGTACAACCAAAATCTCCTTGTAAAAATTGGCCCTACAGTGGATCTATTCACATGTGGGGTTCGTTTTTGGTACCTGTAAACTCCTGAAGATTTGATATTTTACACAGAAGTGTGATTTAACATTGTTTTGGTAATGCATTCTTGATACTTTCTTCTTGAGATAGGATGTTTAGAACAGTTGTAGTTTATAGTGGTGTGCATAAGCTATGGCAAATGTGTGTATGTGTGTATCATGAGAAGGGTTGATTAATAATCTGCAATTTTTAGTAGTGATGATGAAAATGATGAGTAATTTGTTTTCTCTCTTTCTTAGGGCTTCTAGGAAAACCTTTGATACCTCTGAGACCAAGCAGATCATTGGCCCTATCACTGTAGAGTATGGCAAGGTGAGATGGTACAGTTGTTGTAACTAAATACCTCAATTAATGGTGTGATAGAATATTTGTTAATTTATGATGTAATTGAATGAATCTCACCTTTAAAGCAATAATCTAATTTCAGTTAAACAATTCAAGCTTACAGAAAACTTAGATGTTATGGTAGTATGGATATTAGACAACAATATTATCTGTCTTCAGGTCCAGTCCAAGGTCTCTCTGAAGTATGACTCCTGGCACAAGGAGGTCCTCAGCAAGTTTGGCTCTCTGCTGGGTGATCAGATGTCAGAGTTCCATGGAACTGTGTCAAAGGTAGGCAACAGTGACATCTATGGGAAGGTTTGATAACTAATTTATAGATATTTGCTATGAAGTAGGATTGTGTACAATATCCTGATCCTGCGAAGGATAGAGTTGAGGTATACTCAGTATGATTAACTTTGTACATTTACCACCGCTTAAGCCTTTGTAATATAGACCTGCAGTGAGTATCATTCTTCTCAGTAGGTTAACAGCAAAGATGAATATTTTCCATCCAGCCCCACCTACATATTTGTGTGGATATTTCAGTACATCAATGTTGTAATATCTTTTCTTGTTTCAGTCCCGCACAGATTTGGAGGAGCAGTCCCTTGATACATCCACCACTGCGGACGCTGTCCAGCTGATCACCTATGTCCAGTCTCTGAAGAGAAAGATGAAGAACTGGGAGAAACAAGTTGGGGTATGTTGGGACAACCTGGACAGTTGCAAAGCATATATCTTATATCTTTTCTTATTTCAGTTATGCATATGGCATGCTTGATTAAGTACAAGTCCTCTTTATCACTGTAAGTAGCCAAACTTATAAATAACAATCAGAAATTTGGCAGACAGCTAGGGAATTTTTTGGGGTCGAGAAAGGTTTTAAACACATGCATTATTGAATTGTTAGGCTTTCAAGCAAAACTTTTATGGTTTTTTTCATGAAGCATGAAGTATGACTTGAATATGATGTCTGCTGGGTGGAAAAACTTAATACTAAATGAAATGTGTTTGTATTGCTCTGCCTGATTATTTTTGCACTGTCTACATGTTTCAGGTGTACAAAGAGGGCCAGCGCCTGTTGGAGAGGCAACGTTTCCAGTTCCCCAGCACCTGGCTGTACAGTGATAACATAGATGGAGAGTGGGGTGCCTTCAATGATATCCTGAAGAGGAAGGACTCCTCCATCCAGACCCAGGTGGCCAGCCTACAGATGAAGATTGTCTCCGAGGACAAACTGGTGGAAAACAAAACCATTGAACTGCTGTCAGAGTGGGAGAAAGAGAAGCCCATTGAGGTTANCCAGTTCCCCAGCACCTGGCTGTACAGTGATAACATAGATGGAGAGTGGGGTGCCTTCAATGATATCCTGAAGAGGAAGGACTCCTCCATCCAGACCCAGGTGGCCAGCCTACAGATGAAGATTGTCTCCGAGGACAAACTGGTGGAAAACAAAACCATTGAACTGCTGTCAGAGTGGGAGAAAGAGAAGCCCATTGAGGTAATTGTCTATTTTTTAACTTTAAAAAATGTTGTTAAGTAAAATGTTTCATGGAAATGTATGTTGTTGCAAGTTTTGACTAACATGAGAAAGCAAATGAAAATGGATGACTTAAGATATGAGATTTTATGCTTTTCTATAAGGATTTTCTGTTCTGGTCTTGTGCTTAAATTTTACTTTTTAATTTATCATGGAACTAATAGATATTTTATAACTTAGTTGATGATAATTAATTCAATTTTTTATATTTGTAGGGTTCTCTGAAACCAGATGTGGCCACAAACTCCTTGGCCATCTTTGAAGGCAAGATCATGAGACTGAAGGAAGAGAGAGACAATGTCACCAAGGCCAAGGAAGCCTTGGAGCTGGCAGAACCAGGTAAAGTACAGATCCTGTCTCTGTGAGAGCAGTTCATTTGGAGAACTATTACTAGATTTTGACTCCTTTTTTATTAATAGTGAAATATATAAGCTTAAAAAATGAGTCATCCCTTAAACAGTCAGTAAAATGAACCTGTTGAAACTTCAGTTCACATGAATTGGCACATAATTATGTAATCTTTTACACTTATTTTTGCAGCTTTATTATTTGCAATATTTAGAATAGAAACTTCTCTACAAAAATTATTTTTGTCATATTTAGAGTAGAAATTTTTCTATAAAAATACCTGTCTCCCACAGGTGTACTGAGCCCCACAGAGGACCGTATGCAGGTGGCGCTGGAGGAGCTCCATGACCTGAAGGGGGTGTGGGCGGAGCTGTCTAAGATCTGGGAACAGGTTGATGACATGAAGGAGAAACCCTGGATGTCTGTGCAGCCTAGGAAGGTAGGGAAGGATAGGTTTACTGTGTAGAGACAGGCAACAAGACGGGAATGTTGACGGGTTGAACTAATCTTTATTCTTGCTTTCTAACATCCAATCAACCATGGCGGGTTGAAATCAACCGTGAAACATTGACTCCCTTGTCTCCTATTAATAGGTCCTGCTTGTCTATAACTTTCAAAATCTGGACCTGCCTGTCTCTTAAGTTCATAATGTCTGCTTCACATTGCATGGTAAAGCTAGCAGGTCACGTGACTACATCTGACCTATATGTGAATTGTGCTAGTTGTGCTGCTGGCGCATTTTTGCACCTACACACCGGCCCCAAAGACGTCTCTACTGTAAGACGCTCTTTCAATACAAAAGGTGCAATTAAAACACTTATGACTATTTTCATTAGTATATACATGTTTTTCTCTTTAAGGACAAAATGCCAGTAAACATATGTGAACAATACTTGCTAACACCATATACAGATACTTAAATATGCAATGAAACTTGGTAACCACTTCTGTATACCTATGCATTAAGATGTTTCCCATATTCAATACTTATACCATACAATGAATTCAGTGAATCCACCTTTGTCACTGTCTATACCAAAGAGTAAACAATCCTACTTGAAGTGTGAAAACATAAACTAATGTAAATCCCAACTTAAATTTCATGCACTTAACAATGTCTAAGTAAAACATGTTAATCTCATATAGACTTAAGTGTTCTGCAAAACAAGTTTACACCTACTAACTTAAACTGACATCTCCAAGAGGCACAATTTTCTAACATCTCTGCGTAGCTGTCCCTTAGAAGTCTTTAACATCACTTGTCGAACATGACCAAATCTGTCTGGAAAAACTTGCTGAACCAGAGCCTTGGGCCAGCAACCACGCGGTGCATTTTCATCAATTATGAGTACTAAATCACCAACTTGCAGATTCCTTTTTGGACGCAGCCACTTTTGTCTCTCCTGCAATGTAGGTAGGTACTCCTTTAGCCAGCGATCCCAGAACTGATCTGCCAGCTGCTGTGCTCTTTTCCATCCATCTTGAAAATAGTCTCCTTCCACATCTGGAGAAACACACACATTGGGACGTAAAAGTAGCAAAGAACTTGGAGATATCGGTTCCAAATCCCTGGGGTCATCAGACACAGGAGAGAGGGGTCTGCTGTTCAAAATTTTTTCCACTTCAGTGAGTACTGTCATCAGAGTCTCATCATCTACTAGTTGATTTCCTAGAATAGAACACAAGATTTTCCTGATTGATCTAATCATACGCTCCCATACACCGCCTGTATGACTAGCTGATGGAGCATTAAAGTACCACTGAATATCATTCTGACGAAGTTTATTCTCAATTTTGACACAGTCCCACTGCTGCATTGCTTTCTTGATTTCTTGTTCTGCTCCCTTAAAATTTGTTCCATTGTCACTGTAAATTTTCCTAGGAGCTCCACGTCTGCTGACAAAACGGCAGAAAGCTTGAATAAAGGAATCAGTGGACAAACTATGAGCAATTTCAATATGAACTGCACGGACTGCTAAACAAGTAAAAAGACATCCATATCTCTTGGCAGTTCCACGCCTCCACTTCACTTGCAGTGGGCCAAAGTAATCTACACCAACACAAGAAAACGGCGGTTCACCAGGTGTAACTCTATCCATAGGTAGAGGTGCCATAACTTGTTTAATTGGATGAGAGCTCCATCGCTTGCACACAATGCACCTGCCAATCACACGTTTTACTGTTTTAAGTCCCTGCACAATCCAAAATTGCTGACGTATGACTGACAAAACATGGTTAGCACCTATGTGACCTTCTTTCTCATGGTAGTGCCTTACAACCAGGTCTGTGACATGATGATAACTGGGTAAAATCATAGGGTGCCTTCTGGATTCATCCAAGTCTGCCTGTTGCAATCTGCCTCCAACTCTCAAAACTCCATCTTGCTGAAATGGATTCAGTTTGCGTAGAGGACTGAGATATCCTTGTGCATTAATCTTTTCACTGGGCATTTCTTTGGATATATCTCTTAAAAAGACCTTTCTCTGAACAATTTTCACAATTTCATGTGTAGCTTGAGTAATTTCAACAACTGTCAATGGACCTGTGTTGACTTTGTCACGATTTTGAAGATAAGACTTAAAACGCAGTAGCCAAGCTACTGCCTTTTGTAGGTTGTACCATTGTGAAAATCTATTCACCATTTCTTCTAGCTTATCTTCACATGCCTTGGGAAATTCCGTAATCAGACTTAAACAGACCCGTGTCTGTCCTTTCTTCAATTCTCTGTCATCACTTGGTATATCATGAAGAATCTCTGGTTGCTCTGGCCATTCATGTTCAGGTTTCCATAAGAATTTTGGCCCATTCAGCCATGTCTGGATAGCATCCTCATTGGGTTGATCTAAATGAATCCCACGCGATGCATAGTCTGCCACATTTTCGCCTGAACTTATATAGCGCCATTGGCTTGGAGACGAGGCATCATGGATGATTTGCAATCGGTTTGCTACGAAGGTTTGAAAGCGCTTCGAAGTGTTTCTGATATACTGGAGCACTATAGTCGAGTCGGTCCAAAAAGTCACGCTGTGAATAGGAATCTGTAGCTCTTCCTGGACTTGCTTACTGACCTTCACTGCAGTGACTGCTGCAGTTAACTCAAGACGGGGAATTGTCATTGTCTTCAAAGGGGCTACTCTGGATTTTCCGAGCACCAAGCTGCAGTGTATTCTCCCAGAAGTATCCACAAATCGAAGGTAGGTACATACACCATAGCCAGAAAGGGAAGCATCAGAAAAACAGTGAAGTTCAATGGACTGCAATTCATCACATAATGGTGGCTTAAAACATCTGGGAATTTCAAGACTGTTCAAAATTGAAAGATTCCCTTGCCATTTTCTCCACAGAGAAAGATAGTCTTGGGAAAGCTCTTCATCCCAACTGTACCCTGCTCGACACAGCTGTTGGAGAATCTGTTTTCCTGGTAACACAAATGGAGCTGCATAACCTAGTGGGTCATACATTGCTGCTATGTAGGAAAGTATACCCCTGCGTGTTTCTCTTTTAACCTCATTCTTGATTTTGAATCCAAATGTGTCACTTTCAACGTTCCACTGCACACCAAGAGTCCTATCACTAGGGAGTTTCTCCAGATCCAAATTCACCACAGAGGAGGCTCTTTCTGATGCAGGAATGGACTCTAGAACTTCTCGGTGATTAGAAACCCACTTTGTTAAATGAAAACCACCTCGAGACATCAACTCCGTGATCTGTGAGATAAATGATTTGGCTTCTTCTGTTCCACTCACTGATTTCAATAAGTCATCAACATAGAAATTCTTGTACACAGAGCCAATCACATGAATGTCAAAGTCCTTTCTGTTATCATGAGCAGTTTTTTGTAATGCATAAGATGCACAACTGGGTGAAGAAGATGCTCCAAACAAATGCACCAACATCTGATGATCAGTGGGTTCTTTAGATAAATCACCGTCTGGCCACCATAGGAAACTAAAGGCACCGCAGTCACTGGGTTTAACCCGTACCTGGTGAAACATCTGCTCAATGTCGGAAACTACTGCTATCCTTTCCTGTCTGAAGCGAAGTAGTACACCTAATAATGAGCTCGTGAGATTCGGTCCCTGTAGAAGCTGATCATTCAGAGATGTATTACCAAACCTCGCTGCACAATCGAAAACTACTCGGACTTTGTTTGGCTTATTAGGATTAAACACTGGATGGTGGGGAACATACCACTTGACCTCTGATGTTGTGTCTTCCTCTGTTAACACCCGAGCATGTCCTTTCTCGATGTAATCTGTCATGGTTGCTTTGTATGAGATAAAAAGTGCTGGGTCTCTTTGAAAACGTCGTTTTAGCAGGTTAATCCGCTTCTTGGCCATAGACAAGTTGTTGGGCAAACATGGGTGGTCATATTTCCAAGGCAAACCAATCTGGTAGTGGCCATCAATAAACACTGCAGATCTTTCCATGATATCTCTGGCTCTTCTATCTTCCATGGAGACACAATCTTTAACATCTGCTAAATTCTCGCTGAACTCAGTCGTCCACATTCGTTCGAGATTTGTAGATACAGATTCCATACACTCTATGGGGGCACTGCAATTCACTGTTTGATCTAAGTGAATAAAGTTGGCGGAAACTGTCGTGATTTTAGTCCCATTTTCACACACGGGCCCCATGATGGTCCAACCTAAGATCGTTTTAATGCCAACTGGCTGTTGTCTCTTTCCACGGCGCTCATCTAGTAACCAATGCGCTTCTGGGACATCGCAGCCGATGAGTATCTCGACCTTCTTATCTTCTAACTCTTCAATGTTGACATCCTTCAAATGTGGCCATCGAGACGCATCTTGAGCATTACAAATCTGTTCACTGGACACAGGTAACTTGTTTGTTGTTAAAAGTTGATCAATCATGATGCCTTCATTTGAGCTCAGGTGTTTGAGATCAAGTTGCACTTTCCTTCCATATATGGTCTTCTCAGCATTTACAGTGGTCAACTTGTAATCAACTGGCTCCCCCTCAATTCCTAATCTTTCAGCTAGGCTCGATAAACACATACTAGTGTCCGATCCACTATCGAGAAATGCGTATGTGCTGATTTCCTGTCCAGAATCTGGATTACACACTCTCACTGGAAGGACTGGGAGAACAGTTCTACGTTGTTGGTGACATTTCCCAAAGTTTACTGATGACTTCACAGCATCTGTAGGAGGGGCATCGGTGTTGACATCCTTGGAATGAGATGGCACACCTGAACGACTCTGACTTGCACCTAGACTCCAATGCAGCGCTGTGTGGTGTCGTCTGCCACAACCATCAACTGTACACATTCTTTTACTCTTGCAATCCTTTGCAAAGTGTGGTGGGTCTGCTGACAGACATAGATTACATAGTTTGTGCTTACGTGTGAAGTCCCTCCTCTCTTCATGAGGAATCTTTGGGAATCGGAAACAGCGCGTGAGATTATGATTGTTTCTACCGCAAAATAAACAACCTTTGGTATCCTGTTTTGACTGCGTTGCTGTTGTGGCTAATGTTGTGACCCTTTGTATAATAGCTGGTGATGCCTTATGTCTGTTGTTGCTTGGTTTCTCTGGTCTGGCTCCAACTAACATTCCAAAACTTGAATTCGCAATCAAGGCCCTTGTCTCAAGAAATGTGGACAAATCTTCAAAGGTTACATCAGAGCAACTGATCAATTTTTTCCCAGCTTCCTTGGCCCACTCGCCTTGTAAATGTAAAGGTAATCGTTTGACTACTTTAGTCATAGTGTCAAATGAATTCAAATCTCCACTATAACCCATCTGTCTACAACACAGAAGTGCATTTTTCATATCCCTTGCTAATTGAGAAAGTCCTTGGCTCTGTTGCGGCTTCAGGACTGGACCCTTTGTACATTTTTGGATTAGATTCTGCACAACAATATGCCTCTGTCCAAAGTTTGTAAACAAGATAGATTTGGCTTGCTGATAACCTTGACTTGGGGGCAAAATTACACAATCCTTTATGGCACTCTTTGCTTTCCCAGTGCAAAACTGAATCAAATAGGTCAACCTAACACAATCATCTTGAACCTGGTTTTCTACATTTATTTCAAAATTTCTCATAAAAGTTGGATAGTTAACAGGGTCCCCATCAAAGTACATAAACTCCCTTTTTGGCATATTAATGCCTTGAATCATGCTAGCATACATAATAGCATCAAGTGAAGGTGGGTTGACATTCTGCAAAGGACCGTGCGCTGGCTGGGGCATACTGGCTATGTTTACATACGGCTGCTGTGGAGGTACACTGGTATCCCTATATGCTGGCTGAGTAATCGGAACTCTGGACCCCGTCCCATATGCTGGCTGGGTAACTGGTGCATATGCTGGCTGGGTAACCGGTGCATATGCTGGCTGAGTAATCGGAACTCTGGACCCCGTCCCATATGCTGGCTGGGTAACTGGTGCATATGCTGGCTGTGTAACTGGTGCATATGCTGGCTGTGTAACCGGTGCATATGCTGGCTGTGTAACTGGTGCATATGCTGGCTGTGTAACCGGGGCATATGCTGGCTGTGTAACCGGTGCATATGCTGGCTGTGTAACTGGGGCATATGCTGGCTGGGTAACGGGTGCATATGCTGGCTGTGTAACCGGGGCATATGCTGGCTGTGTAACCGGCGCATATGCAGGCTGAGTGTTATTTACAGTTGAATTCAGTGTACAACTGGTGTCAGTCATAGAACAGGTAACATATATAGGGTTGGCTACTGATACAGGATTATCACTAACCTGCACTTGTGACAATGTTTGATCATGGTAAACAGTTACTGTTGGCAACAATGGAACACTAACATTGCTTGTATCAAGTTTATTTGCATGTTCTTCTAAAATGTTGTCCCACTTTTCATATTCTTCCTCCCACAGCCTTGCTTCCAATTCTGCACAATCAACTTCATTTTTTACCTTTAGTAGGTTACACTGACTTTCACTCTCTTGTTTTTTGCGCTCTTGTTCCTGTTCATAGATCATTTGCTTATGCTTCATTTCCTCTTCTATGGAGAGTTGTTTGAGTTTCAGCCTGGCAACCTCAGCCTTTACCTTTGTCTCTTTAATCTTCTCACTGACTCGACTACTGACTTTTGAAGATCTTGAGGAACTAGAGCTGCCTTTGTGTGACGGGTCGGTTAAATGACGCTGTCTATGACGAGATTCATTCCACTCTAAAAGTCTTTGATCAAATTCAAGTTTATTTTTAACTACACTCTCATAAACTGCACTGGCCTCATTCAAATGTTCTGTCTGCTCTAGATGGCTTAAAACATCAGCATACTCTAACTGGATTGGTTTCAGCTTCTCAAAGGCTTCATTTAAGCTGTCCTTTTTCTTGATTACTGCCTGATAGTTATCAAAGTCAAGCATTAAATTTTCCATTTCATTATAGAGTTTAGTCATCTGTCCCATATAAGCGGCTCTGGACAATTTCAATGTCTCTGCCCTTTCACTTAACACTTCTGTTCGCATCACTGGGGTTCTCACTCGCGCAGCCATGTCTATGACGAGTCAACTCACTGTTGATAGGAACCCTTGAACTCCAAGGAAATGTTTCACTTTGTAGAGACAGGCAACAAGACGGGAATGTTGACGGGTTGAACTAATCTTTATTCTTGCTTTCTAACATCCAATCAACCATGGCGGGTTGAAATCAACCGTGAAACATTGACTCCCTTGTCTCCTATTAATAGGTCCTGCTTGTCTATAACTTTCAAAATCTGGACCTGCCTGTCTCTTAAGTTCATAATGTCTGCTTCACATTGCATGGTAAAGCTAGCAGGTCACGTGACTACATCTGACCTATATGTGAATTGTGCTAGTTGTGCTGCTGGCGCATTTTTGCACCTACATACTGCATGGAGGAACATTTTTCTTTCTGGGAAACTGCTTCCTTTTGCATTAATTTATCTGTTTGTTTGATTGTATTGTTATCATTGAGGAAAAAGAAATTAAAAAAAAAAACAAAAAAAAAAAAAAACAGATTTTGTGTAAGTGTGCAAAACAGACTTTTATTAAAAATGTTATGAGAGATGGAAGGCTTTCCTCATATTTTACCATATCAGATTTTTTTTCCTCTCTGTTAGTATCTGAAAATGCATATATTGTTAGGTTGTAAGTGAGGGTAGTTGATAGGAATTAGATAGCAACATTTAATAGGAAATTGAAATTGAACTGAAAATTCAGCTTTCTAGGCAGATTTAGAAAAAAACAAAATTAAAGAACAAAAATCTATTCACTTATTGATATTTATCTTACAACATTCCAGTTGCGTCAGACTATCGATGCCCTGCTGAACCAACTACGTGACCTGCCTGCCAGACTGAGGCAGTACGCCTCCTATGAACACGTGAAGAGAGTACTCCAAGGGTATGCCAAGGTGAGAAAATATATTTTAAGGAAAAAATAATAAAATAAAATAAATTACTGTAATATAAATGCCATAGGCAGTATAGAAATTCATAGAAATGGCAGTGATTTTGATATTTCAATGTAGGAAATGAATTCTTAGGCTCAAGTAAGCACAGTACATGTGTAACATGTTCTGATTTGACAAGTGAAAATCAAAATTGAAAAATAATTGATTAAGGTCATTGTGCTTCAGGTCAAGCAGAAGAGAAGTGGATTTAAGACAAACAAATCGTCAAAAAACTTTGGACATTGCATTGAAAATTAAACCATTTCTCTTACCAGGTGAATGTGATGGTGATAGAGTTGAAGTCGGAGGCAGTGAAGGAACGTCACTGGAAGCAATTGATGAAGCGTCTCCATGTGTCCTGGGTGCTGTCTGAGTTGACCCTTGGTCACCTGTGGGACGTTGACCTCCAGAAGAATGAGGCCACTATTAAAGACATCATCTTAGTGGCACAGGGTGAAATGGCCCTGGAGGAATTCTTGAAGCAAGTGAGTGGATACCATATATGCTGAATTAGTATAACTTGAGTTAATAGTTAAAGAAGATTGTTTCAGTTACTATGATAAAGTTATTTGTACTCCAATGATTAGATGTCTTGATAGATAATCTTTAATAATATAATTTTAATATATATTAGATAAAATCAGGGCAAGTAGGATTGTAAAAAAGTGGACATGTATTAGTGAGAATGTTTTTGGTCTTTTCCAGTATAAAAAGGTGTATAGTCATAAGTTGCAATTTTTGTAGTACACAAATTCCAATAATGTTGAAATTTGAAATATGTTGTAACATTTTAGACTAAAAAGCTGTGCTCCTTATTTAATTGTACTTTTGATTTATTTACAAGGTGAGTGAGGTGTGGAAGACCTATGAGCTGGAGATGGTGAACTACCAGAACAAATGTCGTCTGATCCGTGGCTGGGATGATCTATTCACCAAAGTCAAGGAGCACATCAACAGTATCACTGCCATGAAGCTGTCACCATACTACAAGGCAAGTTGTCTCAAATTCTTGCAGTTTTTCAATTATTTTGTTGCATATTTCTCATCCAGACTTTCAGAATTATTGCTTATATGTACACGGGTGAAAGTTTTCAGGGGTATGCCTGATTTCACGATTTTCAATTTTCATTTTGATTCTTTTTTATTTTTATGTGGTCTGAGATGAGAAATTCCAAGCTATGTTTTCAATATTTTAATTTTTTACACTTTTCACCCATGCATCATTTGCTTTGGTAAATATATCTTTCAAACTTATTAAATACCATATGCATAGATACCTGTATGTAAACTCTTTTCCTTCCTTTGTGCAGGAGTTTGAAGATGATGCCCTGTCCTGGGAGGACAAGCTGAACCGTATCAGTGCTCTGTTTGATGTATGGATTGACGTCCAGCGTCGCTGGGTGTACTTGGAGGGGATCTTCACAGGCAGTGCTGATATCAAGCACCTGTTGCCTGTAGAGACCTCACGATTTCAGAGGTGAGATAATAGTAATAATTGATAAGTGTTATCGAGTAACATATGTAAAATTCAATTTTTATGTAAAAGAACAAACAATTTTTACGGCAATTTACAGCAGTGGCATAGAGTGTATGACATCATATATCAGTTATGTTTCATACCCAAGTTAGGTGTATGTATGCATTTATTTATTTCAGTCAAAAGTTATCATGTAATTTTAATTTATTTTTAGTGTCCACATTAAATTCACTGCAGTTAATAAAGACATTAATATCTCTGTTCTTGGTGCCAGAGTCTTAAAGTTAAGTTATAGCCTGAATGGTTTGCTTTAATTATTGAATTATTTCTTCCTTGTGTCCAGTGTGTGCACAGAGTTCCTTGGTCTGATGAAAAAGGTGTCCAAGTCCCCTCTGGTCATGGACGTTGTCAACATCCCCAATGTCCAGAGACAGCTGGAGAGGCTGGCTGATCTACTGGGGAAGATACAGAAAGCTCTGGGAGAGTACCTGGAGAGAGAAAGGGCATCTTTCCCCAGGTAATTTATACTGGGATCACTTCTCAGGTTCTCCGACACTGTGGTGAACGGTTTTCAATGATCACTAAGATGCACAGTACCAAAATTTATTGTTGCTGTGAAAATTAAAAGGGGCGCTTGCTGTATTAACTTGATTTCTGTAAGAATTAGAAACATAAGAGGCAGAGAGTGGGAGAGGCAGGGGAGGGAGAGAGAGTTACTATTCCTCTGTTTTCTGACATGAAGGCAATGCCTTATAAGAAAAAATATAACAGTAACATTTGAGGGTGTATTTATCATATTAAGTTATTTTCATAATGAGGTCCATTCCATTAGGTTCTATTCATTGGAGCACCTTACAATCACACATAATCTGCTCTCCAGGTTCTACTTTGTTGGTGATGAAGACTTGCTGGAGATCATTGGTAACAGTAAGAACATCCCCAGGCTGCAGAAACACTTCAAGAAGATGTTTGCTGGTGTCAGCGCTATCCTGCTGAATGAAGACAACACAGTGGTGCTGGGAGTCTCCTCAAAGGAGGGAGAGGAGGTGGGGCAATTTTTTATTTTAAACAACGGCAATGAAATTTCTTTAAATGAACATTTTTCAAGCATATAAAAAAGTACAGTTGTTTTATCATTCTTTAGTGATGTTCCACTCTTGTGGCTATAATTAAAGTTATTGAATCAAAGAGAATCAATGACAATATTATTAAGTTCTGACATGAAATTTTATGAAATTATTATGAAAAGTTTTTGAGAAATTGATATTAATAACTTGTAGATTTTTGAGAAATTTATATGTATAAATTCTGTTTCCCTCAGGTGATCTTCCACACCCCAGTGTCAGTGGCTGACCACCCTAAGATCAACGAGTGGCTCACTCTGGTGGAGAAAGAGATCAGACTCACCCTGGCCATACTGTTGGCTCAGGCTGTACAGGGGGTGGCTGCCTTCAAGACAGAGAGCATCAATGCTCAGCAGTATCTGGAGTGGATTGACAAGTATCAGGTGGGTTCTGGAGGATTTCAGTTTAACTATGATATTTGAACTTAATAGATGTTAAAGGTGTGTATGTCTGTGTTGGGGGGGGGGGGGGGGTGTTTGTGTACTTATTTTACTGTGTTATTTTCCTATCATATGCATTGATTTCACCTAAAGAATTGTCTTTGTGCCTGAATTTTCATGTTAACTTGTAAATGTGATGAGGACATTTATGCAATTTCACCAAGTTTAAATAGATCACTCAGAAAGCAAAAAGCATGATATACTTATATAGCATTGAATGGCAAAAGGGACTTATTTGGTAGCGAATGTCTGTTGTCTAATATGGCATATCATCTCTAATACATACATACATAATTCTCATCCTTATTTTCCCACCACTCCAGGGCCAGCTAGTGGTCCTTGCCTCCCAGATCAACTGGTCAGAGAACGTGGAGGCAGCTCTGCAGCAGATCTCCAGCTCTGGGAAGACTGGTGACCTGAAACCCATGGAGAATGTCCTGCTGACTGTCCAGTCCACCCTCAATGTGCTGGCTGACTCTGTCCTCCATGAACAACCACCTGTCAGGAGGAAGAAGATGGAACAACTGGTCAGTGGGTCATCTTGACTGAGCTGTTTTTGAGATGAAATTTCCTGTGGTTTAATGTGTGGATGATTTTCACCAAACCACTCTGAATTCTTTATTTTCTTTCCATTACAAATAGAGCTCCATAGTGTTAAAAATTGTATTTTTATTGTTTCCAAATATTTGTAGCTCCTTAGTGAAAAAAAAAAGATTCTTTAGAAAAAAATTATTTTCCAAAAATCTTCAACTCCATGGTTTGAAAAATTAAACAGTTGGGAGAAACTCTTATTTGAATCACTTCACTATAAACTAACTCCTCCGTCTACTTCCAGATCACAGAGCTGGTTCACCAGCGTGACATCACCAGGATGCTGGTTGAGAACAAGGTCACCAATCCCAAGGCCTTTGATTGGCTCATGCAGATGCGCTTCTACTTCGACCCCAAGAACCCAGATCCCCTGCAGCAGCTGTCTATCCAGATGGCAAACGCCAAGTTCAACTATGGCTTTGAGTATCTGGGCGTCCAGGAGAAGCTGGTTCAGACCCCGTTGAGTGACCGCTGTTACTTGACCATGACCCAGGCTCTGGAGGCCAGACTTGGAGGATCTCCATTTGGTAAGGATTGTGGTGGATGAGTGTGCATGTGTTTGTGTGTATGGGTGTTTTGTGATTGTTTGGTCATTAATTGTAAGAATGGATGAAAAATTCCTGAGTTGATGGAAATTTTGCCTGCCTTTTTTCCTTTGGATTCATTGACTTTTTCAATTGTTGTGCTATATTCAAGTTGTTTTTTGGTCAACTTTATCCACTTCTCTTTGAGTTAACACCCACCAGATAACATGGTTTAACTATTATGTTTTCAGGCCCAGCAGGTACTGGCAAGACAGAGACTGTCAAGGCCCTGGGCAACCAACTGGGAAGATTTGTGCTGGTCTTTAACTGTGACGAGAACTTTGACTTCCAGGTATGGATAAATATGTAGTGTTAAAATTTAATTCATCCATTGCGGCATCAGTAATATTATTAGTAATTGTGCATATTTGCACCTGAATAAAGGGAACTGTTCAGTGGACACTTTTTACATGCTGTTCACACTGCAAAGATGACCTGGTTTGTTGCAGTGATATAAGTCGTGTTGCTGCCTTAGTCATGGTGCTCTCCTTCCTTATTATGCTCCAATTAAAGTTCAGAGGCATCTATTTACCACGAAGTACATTTTGTAGAATTCCATTATAAACTATATTTTGTGTTTCAGGCAATGGGCCGTATCTTTGTTGGCCTGTGCCAGGTGGGTGCCTGGGGTTGCTTTGATGAGTTCAACCGTCTAGAAGAGCGCATGCTGTCTGCTGTCTCCCAGCAGATCCAGTCTATTCAGGAGGCTCTGAAGCAGCTGGCTGACCAGGAGAAGAAGGGTAGGTCACTTGTGTGATAGCTAGGAAATATTGACTGGCATATTTCTATCATTATGTACAAAAGCCTTCTGTGTACTGTAATTCAGGCACTTTGTAGGTTCTTTTCAAAACATTTTCGAAGATTCAACATAAGAATACAGGTGAACAATGAAAATGAGTTAAATGGCTTATTTTTAAGATAAGTGCACAAAAACATTATTTAAGATAATGCGTTCTCTTTGGAGTTTATTTGCAAAACTTATGTATAATGTTTAGCATACTATTCAGTATTTTGTGATACTTATTGAGTTGACCTAAACACACTTACACAATATCTTCAGGTAACACTGTCACAGTGGAGATCATTGGCAAGACAGTGAAAGTCAACCCAGACATGGCCATCTTCATCACGATGAACCCTGGATACGCGGGGCGCTCCAACCTGCCCGACAACTTGAAGAAGTTGTTCCGCAGTCTGGCTATGACCAAGCCTGACCGCCCCCTGATTGCACAGGTGATGCTGTACTCACAGGGATTCAGAATGGCTGAGAAGTTGTCTGCAAAGATTGTGCCCTTTTTCAAGTAAGGATGATTTGATATTGTTACTTTTATAACATGTGGTAAAAGCATATAAAGTTAAGATTTATATAAGATGTACAAGAACATTTTGATTTGCTCAGTCATAGGTTCTTTGTATTCTAGTATCAGATCTAATGATGGATTGTGAAAACACTAGCTATTAGCTAATGATACTAAAATAATGATAATAATAATAGCAGCAATAATGATTCTACCAATAATGATAATATCAACAGTGATATTTACTTGCAATTTAAAGTTGGATGGCATAATTAAGGATGAATAGTAAAAAAACTACAATTTTGAAATAGAGGTAATACACCTGCGTTGTAAATTAGAAGGAACCTTTACTTGACTTTCTGGGAGTTTTTCTGTCACAAAAAGGGTTTAAAATGCATTTATGTATGTTTTAATCAATGTTTTTATCAAAAAGTGAGAGTCTGTACGTCTCTCTGCTTCAGCTTTCTTGCTATAAGTAAAATTCATTGGTTATTCATTTCCAGGCTGTGTGATGAGCAGCTCTCCCCACAGTCTCACTATGACTTTGGCTTGCGTGCCCTGAAGAGTGTCCTGGTCAGTGCTGGCAATGTGAAGAGAGAGCACATCATGAGGGTGAAGGAGCAGATGGTGGCCAGGGGAGAACAGGTGGACGAGGCCTCCATTGCTGAGAAACTGCCTGAACAGGAGGTAAAGATTTCAGTGTGCTTTGCCATATTGTATGTGATAAAGCTGGGCATGTCAAGGCATTTTTTATTAGACAATAAACAAAAATTATTCTTGCAAGTTGCATTACTTTTTCTTTGGCCAGTCAAAGATTCTTTCTGTACTACAAGTAGTAAGTGAAACTGTTGAATAGAGTTAAATTTTTGAAATGAATTTCTTTTTCCATTTTGGCAGTTTAAGACTTAATTAATATATAACATACATTTAAGAATTTTGTTTTTGTCTGGAGACAGCTTGTATCTTTCCAAAGATTCATTAATTCTATTATTGCTAATTAAAGATAATTTATAAATTATGTAAAGCTCCCTCAAAAATACATCCTATCCAGTTTGTGATAGAAGAACCAGGTAGTAGAAGCTAAGTTAAGCTAAGATAATATTGATAGTCAGATACTGGATAAAATGCTCATATCATGGCCCTGTTTATTCTTTGTCTAGATCCTGATCCAATCTGTGATGGAGACTGTTGTTCCCAAGCTGGTGGCAGAAGACATCCCCCTGCTGAACAGCCTGCTATCTGACATGTTCCCTGGCATCCAGTACACCGCTGCTGAGATGTCTGCTCTGAAGCAGGAGATCAGGAAGGTCTGCCAGGATATGTACTTGTCATGTAACGAGGAACAAGGGGGCACCTGGCTGGAGAAGGTAAGTTAAGACAGCTTTGGAATTCAGGATAGAATTTTAGAGGATTGTGGATTTTGAATCTCAGGCAGTGTGACAGAGGTTAATGCCTCGGATTGTGGAATGGTTAAGTGCATGCACCAGGAAAATAAAATATTTAGGAAGGAAAGACATTATTGGAATTTAAATGAGATTATGAATTTTATGGAAGATCTCTTTATCTAGCCAGAAGATGTTATAAAAGAAATCCTTATTTTATTCTTCCAGGTTCTTCAGCTGTACCAGATCAGCCAGATCCACCATGGTTTGATGATGGTGGGACCCAGTGGCAGTGGGAAGAGCACAGCTTGGAGAGTGCTGCTGAAAGCATTGGAGAGACTGGAAGGGGTGGAGGGAGTGGCCCATGTCATTGACCCCAAGGTAAGCTTTGACCTGGAGCAATTTGTACATGTTAGAATCTTAAATGTAAAATAAATGTCATTTTGCTAAACTTTCATCCCCCAGATTCAGTCTCCTTTATTTGATTTCTGGTCTAAAATCTGAATGGTCAATGATCATTTATTTTCAGTCCATCTCCAAAGAGGCTCTGTACGGCACACTGGACATCAACACCAGGGAATGGACTGATGGATTGTTCACACACATCCTCAGAAAGTAAGCACACTATATACAGAAATGATTGTTTAAAATTAGGACTTCTTTACGGACACAATTGTTTAAAACCTGGAGAAAGATCTTAATCAAAACTAAGACTTCTTAGAAAGTAAGTTCTTTTATACACAAAAACACAACTGTTTAAACCCTTGAAAAATATCTGATCGAGAAAAATAAAAAATTAAAACATCTTAAAATGGAAAATGGTACATCAAGAAAAATGAAGTTATGATCAGTTTGGAGTTGCAATAAAGATAAGAATGTAGTTATCCATGTCTTGTCAGGCCAACTGAAAATTTTAATCTTTATCTTCACTACTGTGTATTTTAGGATCATAGACAACGTAAGAGGGGAGATCAACAAGCGCCAGTGGATAGTATTTGATGGAGATGTGGACCCAGAGTGGGTGGAGAACCTGAACTCTGTGCTGGATGACAGCAAGCTGCTCACACTGCCCAATGGAGAACGTCTGGCCATTCCACCCAATGTAAGTCAAGAATTTTCTGAAATGGCCTGTAGTAGATTGTGTGATAATTGTTTTAATGTGTATGCCAGAATCTTACATATATTAACTAGAAAACTAATTTAAACTTTGGTGGGGTCTCCATTCTCTCTGGAGCTAGAGTTCGGGGGTAGGAACCCAAATGCTACACAAGAGACAGTGCTGGTTTCATCTCAGAAATATTTTACTGATTTATAACTTTGTTGTTGTTGTTATTATTATTATGATTATTATATATTTTTATTATTTTTTTTTTCAACTGAATTTCAGGTGCGCATCATGTTTGAGGTCCAGGACCTGAAGTACGCCACCCTGGCCACTGTGAGCCGCTGTGGTATGGTCTGGTTCAGCGAGGACGTCCTCTCCACTGAGATGATCATAGACAACTACATGAAGAAGCTGCGCAATGTTCCTGTGGAGGAGGGAGAGGAGGAGAAACCTACCGCCAAACACGGGGCAGAGGCATCGGAGGATGACCTCTCACCTACCATACAGGTATGTGGTCATTTACTGCATGAAAGTGTTTTCTGTTGTTCATAGATCCCTTAGCATTTGGTGTAAATAGATATAAGAGAAAAATTTACTGTTCAGCAATATACAGTTTCCTGAGTTGTAAGCATTTTGAAGTGTAAATGTACATATTTGAAGGTAACTTTATCACACATGGCTTTATCCCATATTGGTATATTTCATTTTTTTTTTTTTTTTTCATGTATTGCTTGTATCGGAATGCATTAAGTGATGTGTGCCCCTGCTTAAAAAGTTGAAAAGCTCAGGGAATTATTGTGTGAAAATATCTGTAAGCACACTAATTCCTTAAAATCACTAATTGCATTCCTGTATCTCCTTTCTATTCTATACTTCTTTCATATCTATTTCAGACCCAGAGAGACGTGGCAGCCATCTTGATGCCGTACTTTGCCTCAGATGGTCTGGTGATCAGGTGTCTGGAGTATGCCTTCAGCCTGGAGCACGTCATGGACTTCACGCGACTACGTGCCCTGGGCTCGCTGTTCTCTATGCTCAACCAAGCAACCAGGAATGTGCTCAGCTACAACCACAACCACTCTGACTTCCCAATGCAGGTAAGATATGGAGAAGTGATAGACAGTTGTAATCCCTATCAGAAAGTGTGCAATCAAATCCATTGATGAAAGAATTCTAGGATACCACTTCTATTGCTTCTGTGACTGTTTATCAGATGGATGATGAAGTTTAAATTAGAATTTCCCAAGAACTATTCACCAGAATTCAATTTCAACAAAATTTCATTTTATTCTACTTCATGATGTTTATAAGATCAAACAAATATTCTGTTTAAGGAATAGCACAATTAACAGTGACAGCAATGTTTTTTTCTCCCACACTGTAGCAAGACCAGCTGGAGCGTTACATCCCCAAGAGTCTTGTGTACTCCCTGCTGTGGTCCCTGGCTGGAGACGGAAGACTGAAGATAAGACAAGAGCTGGGTGACTTCATCCGTGGAACTACCACAATTCCTCTGCCTGCCAACTCCAGTGCTCCAATCATTGACTTTGAGGTGAGACATAAAGAGGCTTGGATTTAGGCTTTCAAACAATGATTATTAATATTATGAGGAAACCTCAGATTTGTGTTGGTTTCTGTATACAGTAGTAAATGTGTCAAGATTGCTGGGTTTTCCCAGTTTTGAATCAAGAAGAAAAATAGAATTACTACTGAATTTGTAGTTGTGTAGTGAGTTCAAACATTAATAAAAAGCAACATTATATATGTATAATCTAGACTAGTATTGTTTACATATTTGTTGTAAACTTTGATTTAATAGTGTAACTAGATTTAAGGCATTTGATGTTGTCTTCATGGAGTAGATGTAATGAATGGAAAGAATACATTTCAAAAGCATATTTTAAAAGAAAAGTAGTGCAATGATTTCTATATGAGATATTCTGCTGTCTGGTGATTTCTCTCTCTCCCCTGCATTCACACAGTACTACACGGTAAAGATCCACACAGCATGGTTCATTGTTTGTATGGGAGGGAGGGGGGTGGGTGTAGAGCATGGGAATACTAACCTTACATATTGTCATAGATGCTTTAGTTCAAGTGAATTGTGAAAAACATTGTCTTGTCCATTTTGAGAGAAATTGTGTATTTTTAGGCTCTAAAGAAATGGTGCATTAACTAAAAATAATACCATGGGGGGCTTGTAAAGTTAGATATCACTGTAGTTTAGCTTTATATGTGTTTTATGTTAACTTTTGTGAATCATGTCAGCCATCATTCAAGTGGATACCATCTAGGAGTGTAGATTTCCCTTTTTATTTTCTTCTTTATTCTTAATTTTCTTCAGCATGGATTTTAAAATCAGAGATTCCTTCGTTTATCAGTATTGATTCTCATCTTTTAATTTGACTTTTATAATAATTCAGCATGGAGTGCAAAAATATATGTCACCCTTAATATGGTAGAATACAGTAAACTGAGCCCTGTGCTCCCTCCCCCTAGGTGACCATAGCTGGGGAGTGGGTGGCCTGGCAGAACAAGGTGCCCCAGATAGAGGTGGAGACACACAAGGTGGCTGAGCCAGACGTGGTGGTCCCCACCCTGGACACTGTACGCCATGAGTCCCTGCTGTACACCTGGCTGGCTGAACACAAGCCCATGGTACTGTGTGGACCTCCTGGCTCTGGGAAGACCATGACACTGTTCTCTGCTCTCAGAGCACTGCCAGACATGGAGGTGAGTTGATGTGTGAGATAATACACTGTCATCCTAGCAATATATGCCAGAACATCTTGAGGGTTCTGAAGAAAAATAAATCTTACCCTCAAAATACATAAGATATAAAATTGTTTTTTCATCCTGCAAGTACAATTTATGATTATAAATAGAAATTAAGGCATTTGCAAATATCCCATTCAATTTCCCTCAGGTTGTTGGGCTGAACTTCTCCAGTGCCACCACCCCAGAGTTGATGCTGAAGACCTTTGACCACTACTGTGAGTACAGACGTACCCCCAACGGCATAGTACTGGCCCCAGTACAGCTGAACAAGTGGCTGGTGCTCTTCTGTGACGAGATCAACTTGCCAGAGATGGATGCTTATGGTAAGGGGACGCGATTCGAAATATCAATGATACAGTCCTAAGTGGATTTGGCAAATATTTCCACTTTATCTTTAAGGCTTTTTCTTTGTTTCTTATTCAGTTTTCATCAAAAATGGCCAAAAATAAAATATTTCGGCAGAACTAGGAGGGTGCCAGGGAAAAGTATTATTAAATTTTCATTTCTCACATTATCCTTAGTTTTCTGCCTTTAAATTAATAAGAATCATGTTGCATTTTTGAGTACATGGCATTGTGATTGCTGTCAGCCATTGCTCATTCCTTATTATAAAACATATTTGTGACTATTTGTAATGTTACTATTTCCTGTATGCAGGCACCCAGAGAGTGATCTCATTCCTTCGCCAGATGGTGGAACATGGTGGCTTCTATCGTACCACAGATCAGCAGTGGGTGAAGTTTGAGAGAATTCAGTTTGTGGGTGCCTGTAACCCACCCACTGACCCAGGCAGGAAACCTCTCTCCCACAGGTGAGTACGTCATACAGGTTTTCTAGCAAAGCCACTAATCCAGGCTAAAAACCTCTCTTCCACAGGTGAGTACATCACAGACTGTGAATATAAGAAAGATCATGGGCATTCTAAGTAAAAGACATTTAAAAAAAACAGCAAAAGACTCAAATCCTGATTTCAAATTGTAAGTGTCAGGCTCTGTACTGCTTTGATATAAAACTATACTTATTTTCCAAACTAGATTCTTGACATAAAACTGGCTGTTTATCTCCCTCCCACTAGATTCCTGCGCCATGTCCCAGTGATCTACGTGGACTACCCTGGCAAGACCTCCCTGACCCAGATCTACGGCACCTTTAACAGGGCCATGCTCAGGATCATCCCCAGCCTCAGACCCTATGCTGACCCTCTGACCAATGCCATGGTGGAGTTCTACACTATGTCACAGGTACAGATGAATAAACTTTGTCAATTATAAGCTTTTGAAGTACTGTCAGCGCTCTGCTGCAGCTTTTGTTTCACTGACATTTTGGTGGTGAAGAGTTGTCATATTGCTTAAACGATGTTATTGAAGAAAAAAAAAAAAAAACTAATACCAAAGAAATAAAATCTGAATAAGATTTTGTTCACTCCAAATTTTAAAGATATGTTCTTCATATCAAAGATGAAAAGAATCCCTTTTAAGAACCAATTTCTAATATGATATCCATATTTGTAAACAAGACATTAATGTATATTTCTGACTTTCTCTTTCCCAGGAGAAGTTCACCCAGGACATGCAGCCCCACTACATCTACAGTCCTCGTGAGATGACCCGCTGGGTGCGCGGAATCTGTGAGGCCATACGCCCCCTGGAGTCACTCCCAGTGGAAGGACTGGTCAGGATCTGGGCTCACGAGGGTCTGAGATTGTTCCAGGACAGGTAGGTGGAGCCACTTGTCAATTGCAGTGGAATCAATTTATGATATGTAGGTGGAGCCACTTGTCAGTGTTGATTGAATTGTTTTAGGATAGGTAGGTTAAAACATTCTTCAAACATTACACAACTTTGAATTTAAAGTTTAGGAAGATAATTGGAGAGGCCAGAACATGATCAACTTGTCTCGAGGACATAAGAATAATATAAACAAGAAGTGTTACAACCAAGATATTTTAAGTATTGCCAATCATCTGTGTCTTTGTTGTTGCCTTCTGCTAGTAATAAAGAAACATATTAAATACATCTTCTTCTGTTTAATATTCAGACTGGTAGATGAAGAGGAGAGGGTCTGGACAGACCAGAACATAGACTCTGTGGCTTTGGCCCACTTCCCTAACATAGACAGGAATACTGCCCTGGAGAGACCCATACTGTTCAGTAACTGGCTGTCCAAGGATTACATCCCAGTGGATAGAGAGGAACTGAGAGACTATGTCAAGGCTAGGCTGAAGGTAGGCTAGTTTATTGATATATTTAGTTATTNGACTGAACTTCTCCAGTGCCACCACCCCAGAGTTGATGCTGAAGACCTTTGACCACTACTGTGAGTACAGACGTACACCCAACGGCATTGTACTGGCCCCAGTACAGCTGAACAAGTGGCTGGTGCTCTTCTGTGACGAGATCAACTTGCCAGAGATGGATGCTTATGGTAAGGAGAGCCAATTTGGAATATCAGTTATACAGTCCGAAGTAGATTTTACAAATATTTCCACTTTTTCTTTAAGGCTTTTTATTTATTTCTTATTCAATTTTGAACAGAAATGACCAATTTGAAAAATATTTCAGCAGAACTACCAGTGTTAGAGTAGTATCATGAGTTTCAGTAGTATCAGTGATTATGGGTTCACTGGCTTTATATTGATAAGCACATTTCTTGTAAGTACATTGCTGTCATCACTTGCTCATTCTCTATTAAAAAGTATATTTCTGAGTATTTGTACTGTTACCATTCCCTGTATTCAGGCACCCAGAGAGTGATCTCCTTCCTGCGCCAGATGGTGGAGCATGGCGGCTTCTACCGTACCACAGACCAGCAGTGGGTGAAGTTTGAGAGAATCCAGTTTGTGGGTGCCTGTAACCCACCCACTGACCCAGGCAGGAAACCTCTCTCCCACAGGTGATTATGTCACAGACAGAAAGATCATGGGCATTCAAAGTAAAGTACATTTAAAGAAATTGAAAAAACTTGAATCCTGATTCAGTCTAGTTTTTTGACATAAAATTGACTCCTTTCAATTTTTTCCCATCCCCCAGATTCCTGCGCCATGTCCCAGTGATCTACGTGGACTACCCTGGCAAGACCTCCCTGACCCAGATCTATGGCACCTTCAACAGGGCCATGCTCAGGATCATCCCAAGCCTCAGACCCTATGCTGACCCTCTGACCAATGCCATGGTGGAGTTCTACACTATGTCACAGGTAAGTCTCAGACCCTATGCTGACCCGCTGACCAATGCCATGGTGGAGTTTTACACTATGTCACAGGTAAGTCTCAGACCCTATGCTGACCCGCTGACCAATGCCATGGTGGAGTTTTACACTATGTCACAGGTAAGTCTCAGACCCTATGCTGACCCTCTGACCAATGCCATGGTGGAGTTTTACACTATGTCACAGGTAAGTCTCAGACCCTATGCTGACCCTCTGACCAATGCCATGGTGGAGTTTTACACTATGTCACAGGTACAGATGAATAAACTTTGTCAATTATAAGCTTTTGAAGTACTGTCAGCGCTCTGCTGCAGCTTTTGTTTGCACTGACATATTGGTGGTGAGGAGTCATCATATTGCATAAGGGATGTTATTGGGGAAAAAAATAATGACTAAAAATTTTATTATGAAACTAAAAGGGATTTGGTTCACTGCAAATATATTATTGAGATTTTTATATCGAATATGATAATAATCCCTTTTAAGAATCAATTTCTAACGTAATGTACATATATATCAACAAGAAATTTATATATTTCTGATTCTCACTTTCCCAGGAGAAGTTCACCCAGGACATGCAGCCCCACTACATCTACAGTCCTCGTGAGATGACTCGCTGGGTGCGCGGGATCTGTGAGGCCATACGTCCGCTGGAGTCACTCCCTGTGGAGGGACTGGTCAGAATCTGGGCCCACGAGGGACTGAGATTGTTCCAGGACAGGTAGGTGGAGCCACTTGTCAATCGCAGTGGAATCAATTTATGATATGTAGGTGGAGACACTTGTCATAGTTGGTAGAATTCTTTTAATGATAGGTAGGTGGAGACACTTGTCAGTGTTGATTGAATTGTTTTAGGATAGGTACGTTAAAACATTCTTCAAACTTTACACAACTTTGAATTTAAAGTTTAGGAAGAAGATAATTGGACAGGCCAGAACATGATCAACTTGTCTCGAGGACATTAGAATAATATAAATAAGAAGTGTTACAACCAAGATATTTTAAGTATTGCCAATCATCTGTGTCTGTGTTTTTGCCTTCTGCTAGTAATAAAGAAACATATTAAATACATCCTCTTTTGTTTAATGTTCAGACTGGTAGATGAAGAGGAGAGGGTCTGGACAGACCAGAACATAGACTCCGTGGCGTTGGCCCACTTCCCTAACATAGACAGGAATACTGCCCTGGAGAGACCCATACTGTTCAGTAACTGGCTGTCCAAGGATTACATCCCAGTGGATAGAGAGGAACTGAGAGACTATGTCAAGGCTAGGCTGAAGGTAGGCTGTTGTTTTGATATTTATTTGTTTATTTTGATACTTTTTAGATATCAGTTTGTTGTTCGTGAATTGATATAATGAGTAAATTTAACAAAGAGACTTTCACACCTTGAAATTGGAAGATCAAATTAAGTAAGAAACATTTGCTATTTGCAAATGTTCAGACATCATGTTATATAAGACTATTGATATTTATTATTGATATTATCTGATATTATAATATAATATATTATCAATATAAAATGTTTATCATTAAAGGTCTTCTATGAGGAAGAGCTGGACGTCCCACTGGTCCTGTTCAACGAGGTACTGGACCACGTCTTGCGTATTGACCGTATCTTCCGACAGCCCCAGGGGCACCTGCTGCTGATTGGTGTTAGTGGCTCTGGAAAGACCACACTGTCCAGGTTTGTGGCCTGGCTCAATGGACTCAGTGTGTTCCAGATCAAAGTGCACAACAAGTACACAGGAGCTGATTTTGATGAGGATCTGAGAGCTGTGCTCAGGAGATCTGGGTGCAAGGTAAAAGTTTTAACAGATTTATATTTTCCCTTTTATCATCAAGGTGTAGCCTATCAATAACGATTAGGAAATTTAATAGTCCATTAACCATTCTTGTTCTAAATTTCTGTTTTAATCATTTTGAGTGAAGTTCAGCTGCCACCATCTGTTTCAGTAAATTCAGATGTGAAAGCAAAATTTTTGGACACCTCAAAAACCAGTGTTATAAATAAAGTTATTTGAGACTGTGTGAAGAAAACAAATTTTAAAATGTCTCAAATACTGGCATTCTACTAACACTAAGTCTATCTTATAGGGAGAGAAAATCACCTTCATCATGGACGAGTCTAATGTCCTGGACTCTGGGTTCCTGGAGAGAATGAACACCCTGCTGGCCAATGGCGAGGTCCCGGGGTTGTTTGAGGGGGATGAGTACACCACCCTGATGACCCAGTGTAAGGAGGGGGCCCAGAGGGAGGGGCTGATGCTGGACACCAGTGAGGAGCTCTACAAGTGGTTTACACAGCAGGTTAGAACATCAACTGTCTAAGGGGATTTGTCTGTTTTGTTTTTGTGTTCCTAGTTCTGAAATGTATTTTTAATTGATTATTTGTTTTTTTTTATGTTGTTAGATAAATGTTGTGAATGATTTACACTTAAACAAGATATAACATGATGATCAGTGTAATATTCAAATTTTTGTTTTTATTTTTATTTTCATTTTTTAAAAATCTTTTTCTATGACAAATGAATTTTTGAAGATTTTTTAACTGTTTGTAATGGAATACACTACAATATTGTTTTTGTGTTCAGGTCATGGTGAACCTCCATGTTGTCTTTACAATGAACCCATCTTCTGAGGGACTCAAGGACAGAGCTGCCACCTCACCTGCTTTATTCAACAGGTAAGTTATTTGGAAAAAGATGCCTTTAATTGTCATATTCTAAATTGTTTCCTTTCATCTATTTCGTCACCTTTAAGACACTAAGTGGAGATTTAATAGTTGCACTTTAATTAGTTGTAAAAAAGCCCAATAACAATTTTTCTTGATATTTCTGTAAACAGACATAAAGAATAAAATGAGAAGTCAGTGCTATCACTAATTTTTTTCAAAAGCAGAAAATAAAACAAAATGTTATTTTTTATTACAGAAATTAGAACTATACCAAATTGTATGCTGTGTGAGTGAAGATTGTATTATATATTGTATTGTGTATTGATTTTCTTACAAAATAATTACTCGAACTTATTTTATTTTATCCACCTAGATGTGTCATCAACTGGTTTGGAGACTGGTCCACAGGAGCTTTGTACCAAGTAGGCAAGGAGTTCACCAACAAGATTGACCTAGAGAAGAGCAACTATGTTCCTCCTAACTATCTTCCTCTGGCCTACGAAGGGGTGCCCAACCCACCAACCCACAGGGACGCTGTCACCAATGCCTTTGTATTTGTCCACCAGACTCTCCACCAGGCTAATGTGAAGATGTTGAGAAGAGGAGGGAGAACTATGGCCATCACCCCCAGACATTACCTGGACTTCATCAACCACTATGTAAGTACAAAGAAACAGCTCTGGAAATGGATGTTTGAAGATATTTTTCAGTAGGAATTTTTTCATATCTGAAGCTTGGTGATAAATGCTTGTTGAAAACATTATTAAAAGTAAGTGCTTCTCCTGTGCTTGAATTTTTTTACGTCCATATATCAGGCCTTCCCAACTACCAGACTCGGCACCTACGGGTCCAGAATAAACCGGTATATCTGACCACACTACCCGTTTTCAAGGTGTGTGTCAGATCGCATAAAAGAGTATCATACCCTATCACAAATTCTGTAAGCCTACCTGTCATCCGGGTATCGCGCCTCGTTTTCGTCAAGTAGGAGTCGCATGAATACAACAGACGACTCCCTCAATCAGGGGGTGGAAACGCGCTACTTATATGATTAAGACGAGCCTAGCCGTCAGTACCGGTTATTGTTTTGTGACCTTGAGGAGCAATTAGGTTTGGTCGTTGCGGCACGCATCAACAGTAGTTGAACTACNGCTATCAAAATTAGGTATACTTTTCTAAATTAATATATAAGTTTGCAAGTTCTTATTTACAAAACATCAATGGCTATGTCCGAACCTAAATTTTATGTTAAAAATTGCGGTACTGTCAGATTTGAGCATAAACAGAGAAAATTGCAGCAGCGCATGAATCTAGATGAGATGCACTACTTTCCAACCCCGCTTAGGATCATTGCTATCACATCGCGCACCAGGCAAAATCGGTGTGGTGGCTGATACTCTGTAATGCGATCTGACACACACCTTGAAAACGGGTAGTGTGGTCTGATAAACCGGTTTATACTGGACCCGTAGGTGCCGAGTCTGGTAGTTGGGAAGGCCTGTATATGATCTTTTCCATTTCATTTAAAATAATTTTGGCTTTTCTCCATAAAGTTGCTTTTACATTTTGAAGTATAATGGTAATATGTGTGCTTATTCAATTAAATATCCAGTTTCAGAGATATCTATTTGTACCTTTTACCAGTTGTCAGGTTTGCAATATGGTCTTTAATTTTATTTCAAATAAAGGTATATCAGCAGCTCTGAGATAACACTTCCCTTTTTTCCCTTTCCTAGGTGAAGCTGTTTGTGGAGAAGAGATCTGACCTTGAAGACCAGCAGCTCCACTTGAATGTGGGTCTCCAGAAGATCCGCCAGACCACAGACCAGGTGGAGGAGCTGCAGAAGTCCCTCTCCATCAAGAGAATAGAACTGGAGGAGAAGAATGCTGCAGCCAATGCTAAGCTGAAGGACATGGTGAGTTTGAAGTTAAAATAAATACAATTAAGGCAAAAGACCAAAAGTATTTCATTTTATAAATGTTGTGAATGTTTATTCAAAAAATAAAAAATTATAATTGAGATTTGAGAAAATTATATAATCTTTGTATTTTGGTCTGTAGGTAAAAAGACCCACAGGATTTTGGTGATGGTTTTGTAAATGTTGTGAGTATTTATTCAAAGATACAAAACTCAGTTTATATTTGAGGAAATTAGAGGGAGATATAATCATTGTATTGTGGCCTGTAGGTAAAAGACCAGCAGGAGGCAGAGAGGAAGAAAGTGACCTCCCAGGAGATCCAGGCTCAGCTGGCAGCACAGACCAAGGTGATCCAGGAGAAACAGAAGAGTGTGAAGGAGGATTTGGACAAGGTGGAACCTGCTGTTATTGAGGCTCAACAAGGTGAGATATTGTGTACTGTGATAATAACAACTTGGTGATCATAGTGGTAACTGAGTTAATTTGTTGGCATATTAGCTATGATGTAGAAAATGACTATTAAATATGTAAAAACAAGGTGAGGATGTTGGTTATGACTGATTGCATTGGTCACTTAGATGAAACTGAGAGTGAAAGCATGGTACATTTGATGTAGGTGTGGTGTATCCCACAAGAAATTGTTCTGATAGAAAGTTCTGTATGATAGATGTTAATGTTTTGTTTAAAGGTGATATTTGAACAGGAATTTGTGGTGAATCCTTGAAAGTTGATCTCATTGAATCATGAATATTGTATGAGTTTTTTATGCCATGTTTTTCATTTGCAGTATATACATACTTTTGAGAATTGAATAGATTTAAGTTTTGTTATAATTGTTTTTGGTACTCTTACCTTTTTTTCTGTGTTATTCTTGTTTTTAGTGTTGTATTTACTTTCAACATAATCATGACACCATTTCATAAAAGGGGAAAACTTGATACATGCATATTGCCTGTCCAAACCAGTCAACCATATAAGGATACATACATAAGGGATGGATACATTTTATTTCTTTGCTTTCTGGGGATTTTTAAAAGTGAGATGCATTTCGGTTTTCATTCATTCACCATAATTTTGCTTCAATTTGCCATTATTGTCAACTGACCCACCTTCTCCCTGTACTCAGCTGTCAAATCTATCAAGAAGCAGCACCTGGTCGAGATCAGGGCTCTCCCTAACCCTCCCCCTGCTGTCAAGCTGGCCCTGGAGTCTGCCGCCACACTGCTTGGAGAGACGGACCTGGACTGGAAGTCTATGCGTGGATTCATCACAAAGGATAATTTTATTCCTTCCATTGTCAGTTTTGAGGCTGAAGATATCAGGTAATTTATTTAGCTGCCGAGGGTTGTGGGTTTGTAGCGCTGCTGTTTATTATTAATCCTGGTTTTCCCTTGTGGTGTTTCAGGGTTTTTCTTTTGTGTTTATTTGTTGACATTTCTAACTCTACTAACCAGGCGGTGAATTCCTTTTTTGCAGAGTTTTTGGAATGTTTGTATGCTGAGAAATCAAACTGTAACTACTGATATCCTTCGTGATTTTTTATTCAGGTTGTTCTAGGTTGCAGAGTGGTGCTTCTTTTTCTTTCCTGTCATCAGGTCTGACTGACAAACATAACTATGTGAGGGACTGTTTTCATAAAAGATGTTCAGACCAAAATTCAGTCTTAACTAAAAGACCAAAAATATGCTGGATCTGTAGCCCTCTATGCAGGATAGATCAGCAGTAGTCAACTAAAATCAAATTAAGTCACTATTTGTAAAAACATTGGCCATGTCTTTCTTTTTTTTTCTCTTACTGGACACAATATTGTACTGAACTGAGCTACTGCTATTCTGTCCTGGGTCCAAGTGAACTAATATTTTGGTCCTAAAGTTGAGACAAACTTTAGTCTGAAGTTCTTTTGTGGAGCTCATCCCTGGACTAATAACTACTAACATATTCAGAGCCATGTACATTATCTGCATGGATTGACTAACCTTCCTCTAGATGACTAGTACCACTTCCTAATATTTGTAGCTGTGAAATCCATCAAGAAGCAGAATTTGGTGGAAGTCCGTGCTTTAGTGAACCCGCCTTCTCCAGTGAAGCTGGCCCTGGAGGCGGTCTGCTCACTGCTGGGGATGGCAGAACTGAGCTGGAAAGCTATCCGGGCTGTCATCATTAAGGAAAACTTTATTCCTTCCATTGTCAGCCTCAAAGCGGAGGAGGTCAGGTACTGTAGACTCCAGCTGGCTTCTCTCCTCTAACCTGCCTCTGTGTGGAAGTGTGCCTGCACAGAGGACGCATCCGGTTTATATACTAGCGTACTTAAATGCTTTGATTTGCCTCGCCTTAACCAAGCTCATAACCTTACAGTGGGACTCATTCCATTATAGCCCATGTTTAGCCATGATGCTTGCTTGTTTCCGAGGACTTCCGAGTTGATATGACCGCATTAATACTTATTGAATATTTCAGGCTTGGGGAATATATTTATATGAAGAAATGAAGAGTTGCCTTTTGCCTTCTTGTTAGGGATCTATTCTCTGCTTCTCTCTAATTTCCTTGGCACATATTTATCTGCTGCGCCTATATACAAACTCATAATCTCATTGCCCTCATTACACTGCCTATAGCTGTGAAATCCATCAAGAAACAGCACCTGGTAGAGGTTCGTGCAATGGGCAGTCCACCTCCGATCCTCAAGATGGTCCTCGAATCCATCTGCATCCTCCTCGGGGAGTCTGCTCCTGACTGGAAATCCATACGACAAATGATAATTAAGGACTCTTTCATCCAGAACATTGTCAGCTTTCAAGCTGAAAACATACCGTAAGTTTGGTGGCCCATCTTTAAGGAAATTGCTGCTGCTGCCACCTATGAATGTTATGTCAAACTGCAGCTGATGCCACCTATTGATGTTTTGTCAAACTGTTCCTATAATTACCTGTTGCATGGCTTGCCAGTCAGTGTGGTCTCATGTGTAAATAACATCATGACCAGGCTTATCATAAACTTGGTTGCTCTTCCCTTTTGGGTCTTCTTTCTATTCAATTATGATGATATAGCCATTATAATAACCGTTCTAACACAATATGCTGACATCCCTCTCCTCTTCCTGATAAGCCTTCCACCATTTTGTACCAGTAATCATTGTTTTATTTTACTTTCAGGCATGAAATTTTTTGTTGGGTTAGGGTATAAAATGTATAGCTTTCCCAGTATAGCAATGTTGTAAGATCATTTTTTTCTTTTTGTTTCTTCATCTTTATGATTTTATTTCAGACACGATTAATAAATACTGCAGTGTTCTAGAATGCATATTACACATCCATTGCTTGTAATATATCATGTCAGATAAAAACTGTTCGTGTTCTAGAAAATGTCTGGTTTTACTTGTNTAACTATGTGAGGGACTGTTTTCATAAAAGATGTTCAGACCAAAATTCAGTCTTAACTAAAAGACCAAAAATATGCTGGATCTGTAGCCCTCTATGCAGGATAGATCAGCAGTAGTCAACTAAAATCAAATTAAGTCACTATTTGTAAAAACATTGGCCATGTCTTTCTTTTTTTTTCTCTTACTGGACACAATATTGTACTGAACTGAGCTACTGCTATTCTGTCCTGGGTCCAAGTGAACTAATGTTTTGGTCCTAAAGTTGAGACAAACTTTAGTCTAAAGTTCTTTTGTGGAGCTCATCCCTGGACTAATAACTACTAACATATTCAGAGCCATGTACATTATCTGCATGGATTGACTAACCTTCCTCTAGATGACTAGTACCACTTCCTAATATTTGTAGCTGTGAAATCCATCAAGAAGCAGAATTTGGTGGAAGTCCGTGCTTTAGTGAACCCGCCTTCTCCAGTGAAGCTGGCCCTGGAGGCGGTCTGCTCACTGCTGGGGATGGCAGAACTGAGCTGGAAAGCTATCCGGGCTGTCATCATTAAGGAAAACTTTATTCCTTCCATTGTCAGCCTCAAAGCGGAGGAGGTCAGGTACTGTAGACTCCAGCTGGCTTCTCTCCTCTAACCTGCCTCTGTGTGGAAGTGTGCCTGCACAGAGGACGCATCCGGTTTATATACTAGCGTACTTAAATGCTTTGATTTGCCTCGCCTTAACCAAGCTCATAACCTTACAGTGGGACTCATTCCATTATAGCCCATGTTTAGCCATGATGCTTGCTTGTTTGAGGACTTCCGAGTTGATATGACCGCATTAATACTTATTGAATATTTCAGGCTTGGGTAATATATTTATATGAAGAAATGAAGAGTTGCCTTTTGCCTTCTTGTTAGGTATCTATTCTCTGCTTCTCTCTAATTTCCTTGGCACATATTTATCTGCTGCACCTATATACAAACTCATAATCTCATTGCCCTCATTACACTGCCTATAGCTGTGAAATCCATCAAGAAACAGCACCTGGTAGAGGTTCGTGCAATGGGCAGTCCACCTCCGATCCTCAAGATGGTCCTCGAATCCATCTGCATCCTCCTCGGGGAGTCTGCTCCTGACTGGAAATCCATACGACAAATGATAATTAAGGACTCTTTCATCCAGAACATTGTCAGCTTTCAAGCTGAAAACATACCGTAAGTTTGGTGGCCCATCTTTAAGGAAATTGCTGCTGCTGCCACCTATGAATGTTATGTCAAACTGCAGCTGACGCCACCTATTGATGTTTTGTCAAACTGTTCCTATAATTACCTGTTGCATGGCTTGCCAGTCAGTGTGGTCTCATGTGTAAATAACATCATGACCAGGCTTATCATAAACTTGGTTGCTCTTCCCTTTTGGGTCTTCTTTCTATTCAATTATGATGATATAGCCATTATAATAACCGTTCTAACACAATATGCTGACATCCCTCTCCTCTTCCTGATAAGCCTTCCACCATTTTGTACCAGTAATCATTGTTTTATTTTACTTTCAGGCATGAAATTTTTTGTTGGGTTAGGGTATAAAATGTATAGCTTTCCCAGTATAGCAATGTTGTAAGATCATTTTTTTCTTTTTGTTTCTTCATCTTTATGATTTTATTTCAGACACGATTAATAAATACTGCAGTGTTCTAGAATGCATATTACACATCCATTGCTTGTAATATATCATGTCAGATAAAAACTGTTCGTGTTCTAGAAAATGTCTGGTTTTACTTGTATAACTTGTTATTAGTGACTAGCAGTACTTGTACTTTTAAATGTAAAGCTAAATTTGGTCTGAAAAAATTCAAATTGAAAATTAATGTGTTCTTGTCTTCATGTGCTTTTTTTTCATTGAAAGAAAAACCCTTTATGCTTATGACATTGTTTTTTATTATATATTTGAAAAACAATCCACTTTGTATTGCTTTGCAGTGATTGTGATTATAAATGTAGATGGATTTTATAGAGTTAGTTGTTGAATACTCTTCTAGGTAGTAATTTGAATGTTAGTAAAATTGTTTTGAAATTAATAATAATGTTCTCTCAGTTACTTCAAATAATAATGTAGTATTTTTTTAATCAGTGACACATTTTATTTAGCAGTTTTTGATAATGTTATTAAATTACCCTGAATTTCCTCCCTCAGTGATGATATTCGTTCCAAGATGAAGCAGAAATACTTAAACAACCCTGACTTCACGTACGACAAGGTCAACAGAGCTAGCTTGGCATGTGGGCCCATGGTGAAATGGGTCATTGCACAGGTAAGTACATGTGACATAATACACTATCATATATGGGAAATATGCCATAACACCTGGCATATATCCCAACAATTGTTTTTAAATTATCAAGATAGTGTTTTGTTGTGGGCAGTGCTTTACACAGATCCAACCGTTACATATGTCTTACAACCTTCAGACTACATTATAAGATTTAATGTTAACGCAGTGATTTTATGCTAATTTATAATGATTATTTTATGTAATTTTCCTAGATAAACTATGCTGACATGATCAAGCGTGTGGAGCCGCTAAGAAATGAGCTGAAGGCCCTGGAAGACGAGGCTGACATCAACAAGCACAAGAACAATGAGGTGAACAAGCTGATCAGTAACCTGGAAAAGAGTATTGCCAAGTACAAGGAGGAGTATGCTGTGCTTATCAGTCAGGCACAGGCCATCAAGGCAGACTTAGCAGCTGTGGAGACCAAGGTAAAGAGACATTAGTATAAGATATATATTTATTTCAGTATTTAAAGGCTATCACCCAGATCACAAAGATTTAATTATATATCAGTGGTAGTAGTAATGGCTGTTAATGCATATAGCAAATGGAATTCAGTCTTTATGCTTTAAATTCTTTTTTGCATTTGATGAAATTTTGTTTGAGAAATATTTTTTTTGGAATGCCTGTTTTAATATTTATTTGTGGGGTTAATAAGAAAAGATAAAATATTGATGGTTTGTATCTTACTTTTCATTTGCTGTGATTCTTGCATCTGTAACATCCTTTCAGTATAATGACAAGTCAAGTATAGAAGCAATAAATTAATTGTGACTATCTGTTCTTTCCCGACAGGTGGAGCGTAGTGTTGCCTTACTGAAGAGTCTGACCAGTGAACGTGAGCGCTGGGAACAAGGCAGCGAGGGCTTCAAGGCGCAGATGTCCACCATCATTGGGGATGTGTTACTGTCTGCGGCTTTCCTGGCTTATGCTGGTAAATGTCCAATTCTCTTGTATAAAGACTGTTTGTTTGGTAGCACCAATAAAATACATATTTATTCATTTATCTATTTTGTAAGATTTTAATTTCTATTTATTGTTATTTTTTTATTGATTTTTTTCTCATTTACTTCTATCTAATATCCATATTTATATGGTAATTTTTAGCTCTTGGAATAGGTTTTATATGATGCCAGAGAATAAGTGTGGTGTTCTGTTTACAGAATCATAGGAATTAAAAGTTGTGGTTTACAAATATATTGAAGTACTCCATCAAAATCAACCTAGTAATGGTCAGCAATCTGTTTTCTTCCAGGTTACTTTGACCAGCAGATGCGTCACAACCTGTTTACCACTTGGTGTCACCACCTGCAGCAGGCACATGTGCAGTTCAGGCAGGATCTTGCTAGAGTGGAGGTAGGAAAGTTGGTTCCAACTGTTTTTGATATCAAATGTCTGTGTTTTAGTACTTAAAAATCTTAATTTAACATCTGTAGATACAAATCGGTCTTTATGCTGGAATTGAAATGACCAATAAGGTATAACAAAAAGATTTTTTTCTTGTTTTCAAAAGAAAAGTTTAGTAATCTAATGCTCATCATCAGCAGTAAAGATGGCATGCCAGTTCACAGATTTTTATTGTTGCGCAAATGTCATTCTTTGTATGGAGGTTAAAGAAGACAGAAGCAACATGTATGTTTGTGTTTGTATCTTTCTCTCTTTTTCTCTAAAAATTACTTCTGTACTTTTCAGTACCTGTCATCTGCAGATGAACGTCTGCGCTGGCAAGCTAACGCCCTCCCAGCAGACGACCTGTGTGTAGAGAACGCCATCATGTTGGGCCGCTTTAACCGCTACCCCCTGATTATCGACCCGTCTGGCCAGGCCACAGAGTTCATCATGAATGAGTACAAGGAGAAGAAGATCACTAAGACAAGGTGAGGTATTTTCTTGAAAGGTGTGTGAAAAGTAGGCTGTGTATTGAATCTTTGAAGAGGAAGTTGTTATCAGATCTAAATATGTGGTTTGTTCAATGTAGTGGCTTTTACTTATGACTCACAAAGAATATTTACCTTAAGCTATTTTCTAAAGAGTTTGTTAAAAGCAGTATTTGTATTGATTTTTCTAGTAAACTACTGTCTTAAGACTTTGACATTTTTATTATTCATCATATAATCAGTTTAAATGAGACTGTTGGGTCAAATACTTTTCCCTCCCTCCCAATTTCAATTTTTATATTGTTATTGTGGCATTATAATGTAATTAAGATTATTTATTTTTACAGTTTCTTGGATGATGCTTTCCGTAAGAACCTGGAAAGTGCATTGAGATTTGGAAATCCACTTCTTGTACAGGTACAGTAATAACAAATTTTCTTTATTTTATTTTTATTTTATTTTTATTTTATTTATTTATTTATTTCATATATTTATTTTTATTTTCATAATCGGGGATAGTTTTTTCAGTTGTCTTTTTCTTCAGGTGAATTCTTATGGTTGTAGTCATTTTTGTTACTTATTTTTTTTCTTATGGTTGTAGTCATTTTTGTTACTTAGTTTTTGTATTATGTTTACATTAAGTGCAGAATTTAGAAGAGTAATGAAATATTTACTGTCCGTGTTTCTGTTTCAGGATGTGGAGAACTATGACCCTATCCTGAACCCTGTATTGAACAGAGAGCTGCGCCGCACTGGGGGCAGAATTCTGATCACCCTGGGAGACCAGGACATTGATCTGTCTCCCTCATTCACCATCTTCCTCTCCACCAGGGATCCCACGGTAAGTTTAGGAAAGATATTACTCTTATTTTATAATCATTGTCTTTCTTCTTGGGGCCATTTTTCATGTCATCATTAATTTTCAAAATCAGGGTGATTATTTTGGTTAACTCAGATTAATATGAAGATATGCCATAAACACAAGATATGCTTTCGAAAAGTTTTGCTGAAAATTAATAGTTTTTATTCAACAAAACCCCAAGTGTTTTGAAACAAGAGCCCCTCTCTGTCTCCCCTATTTAAACATTGAGTTGGTTGAATAAGCATTATTATTATTATTATTATTATTATTATTATTATTATTATTATTATTATTATTATTATTATTATTAATTCAGGTGGAGTTCCCCCCAGATATCTGTTCCCGTGTGACCTTTGTGAACTTCACAGTGACCCGCAGTAGTCTCCAGAGCCAGTGCTTGAACCAGGTGCTGAAGGCAGAGAGACCAGACATTGACGCCAAGAGATCAGATCTGTTGAAACTTCAAGGTGAGGCCATGGAGTTTGTCTGATTAACTTCAGTTTGAGTTTACCAAGCATGTCAAATGAACCCATTGAGCTTTAATACCCAAAATTTTGTGGGTTTAGTTTGTGTAAGTTCATTTCAGTAAAGAAAATAATTAATTGCATAATAGAGCTCAGAAAAAGAAATATTTTCTAGTGATGTACTGTAGTAGTATGTAGTAATACTTGTGACATTTATAGTATACTCAGTCATAAATTATGTATATTTGTGCATACTCTCATGTTTATATACTCAATGTGAGACATATATTTGTTAATTTACATATCAGGTGAGTTTGCCCTACGTCTGCGCCACCTGGAGAAGTCCTTACTGCAAGCCCTGAATGATGTGAAAGGCAGGATCCTGGATGATGACAGCATCATCAGTCATCTGGAGACCTTGAAGAACGAGGCTGCTGAGGTACAGAAGAAGGCGGAGGAGACGGATGTTGTCATGGCGGAAGTCGAGACCGTCTCTCAACAGTACGTACCACTGGCACAGTCCTGCAGTAGCATCTACTTCACTCTGGAGTCTCTGAACCAGGTACGGCAGAATAATTCTTTTCATGATAACAATATTAAGAGGGCAAAAACACTATCATATGCTGCAAGTCTTTTACCTGTTGTGTATTAGGCGTATTGGTCAGACATTGAGCTTCCATCGGTAAAAAATACTTATGATTACATAACATAGGAATTTTAGATTTCTTCAGGGATAAAAAACATTCTGATTCCCTCAAATTGCCAGAACCAGATATTGTAATCTTAATATACATATGCCCCAATGTAGATCTGTACCAGTCCCTCCTATTTGTTCCCCTAGGTTCACTACCTGTACCAGTTCTCTCTGCACTTCTTCCTGGACATCTTCAGTGCTGTGCTCCATGACAACTCCAAACTGGACAGTGTCAAGGACTATACCAAGAGACTGGAGGTCATCACCAATGACCTCTTCCAGGTAACTACTGAGTTATAGGACTAGAGTTTTTTTAATGACTTTTATAGAAGGGTGGGGGATATGATGAAGTCACACTCTGAATTCTACATTATATGGATCAATTTTATTTTATCAATATCTGATATTTTCTTTTATTAATCTTTTATATTCTATATTCACACAGTCTACTGAACATAACTGGATCTTACACTCTTAATATGTATGATTATTGTTATTGTATAGTACTGCTAAGGGAATTCAGTATTCAGTTTAAATGACAAAATAATTAGAAATATGTACAGATAAACATAGATCTATTTGTAGTTATTAATAAATCTGATGATAATTCAAATTAGGTTTAATATTAAGGCAATACTTGTCAATCAGACTTTATTAGTAATTACATCTTATACCTATAGGTCACCTTCAACCGCGTGGCCCGAGGTATGCTGCATCATGATCAACTGGTCAGTGGCCTCCTCTTGGCAAGAATCCACCTCAAACAACTGCCCAGGTAGGCTGCATTCTGCTGTTATGGGGTGGTTGGCTCATGCCTTAGTTGAAATCCCTCTTATCAAAATAACTTGTTTAACATGCTCCAAGACTGTCTTGAATCTCGATTTGTTTGTGCTGTCAGTTGGTTTTTGTGTTAAAGAACAAGTTATGTGCTCTTTAATGTATAGACATGGCAAAATATGGGCATTGGCAGAGGCTTTGAAAAGGACAGTGGTTAGTCTTAATACATGTTCTCATATTGGTTCAAATTCCTTTGAAATGTCTACATCTATCTGTTTACCAGTGAGCCATCCTATGAGGCAGAGTTCCTCCACTTCATGCGTGGCAAGGAGGGTCTGATGACAGAGGGACTCCCCAGTGTGGAAGGACTGCAGCCAGACACCGTGCAGGCCATGGTCCGGCTGGCCAAACTCCCCGCCTTCAGGGGAATCATGGCTAAGGTCAACAAGAACCCGGTAAGGGGGATTTGACCTCTCCTTGGACATTTGAAATTGGATTTTGTATTACTATTAATGTAAAGAAGGAGTAGAGAGAAAAAAGGGAAAAAAAATGCCCAATATGAAAAAGGATTGATTTTGAATGTTCTTTTGTTTCAAGAGCATGATGATTCCTGATAATCTTATTGAAATCAGCAACATGTATCTGTTAACCCTGCTCTTACATCTTAATTGAAACTTTGAAATATGTACTGTTCTTCCCCAGGATTTCTTTGCCTGGTTGAAGACGGTCTCTCCAGAACATGATGTCCCTGTGATATGGGACGAAGGAACTCCACTAAGTAAGTGGTCATGAACATTTCATGAAAGTCATGTCTCTAACAGAAACCAAGTAATTCATGAAACACATGCTTGAAATAGATATTTTCATGAAACATATGTCTATAAGGCATGTACCATTAAAAGCATTTCTGAAACAAATGCTTGTTCAAGTACCAACAAATACTGTTTTTTTGTATGTTTTTTAATTTCATGAGTGAATGATTTTATCAACTTGAAATAATGATATTTAGTTCTAATTGATCAAAGGTAAATTGGATAGTTGCATGATTTCTGGAATCATATAATTTAATTTTTTGTTTCATACTTCTGGTTTGTGGAAATTAGCATTTTGAATGGGTAAAAAAAAATAGGGTGGTATAAGATCTGAAAAAAGGAAAACACACAAAGTGTTAAAGATAAGACTAAATGTTCAGCCAATGCCATTCTGTGGATATTGTAGGTAGTATAGGCAAGGCCCTGTACCAGATGTTGGTCATCCAGACCTTCCGACCTGACCGTCTGCTGGCCATGGGACACACCTTTGTTGTCACGGTGATGGGGAATATGTTCTTCCATGATATAGAACAGGAGGTCAACCTGGCCGCCATTGTGGAGAATGAGGTAAGAGGATTTCTGTTGCTTCTAGAATTCTTATTGATGGGTTGTTTGAATGTGTAAACACTAAATTTTTTTCTTTATGGTGGAAAAATTTTTGATTTTTTGATCTTAAAATTTTTCCAAAATATTAAAAATATTATTAATTTTGGCCATAATTTTTATTCTGAAAAAAAGAAAAAAATAATATTACATTTTTATATAAATTTCCAAAAAAATTTTTAATTTAATAGTGGTGTTATTGTTCCTCAATTTTCATGTTTTTCCATGCACAGGTTTGCTACATGAAGTTTTGATTTTTTTAATCTTCTCCTCCCCAGATCCGTGCCAACACCCCTATCCTGCTGTGCTCAGTACCAGGTTATGATGCCAGTGGTAGAGTGGACGACCTGGCCGCTGAACTCAATAAACCAGTCTCTTCTATTGCCATAGGTAGATTAGTCAACAATTTGACATTATTAAGAGTGTGTGCATGTGTATAGGGTTAGAATCTGTTTGCTATTCTCATAAATTTTGATCAACTTAATTATTGAAATTGTCAGATTGCACCCAACATGTGGCTTATATCACATGTCATACTCTAGAATATCTAAACCCGTTGGACCTTGTTAATTTGTGATGTGAAGATTTCAGCTAATATCAAAGAAAAAATCCATTACACATAATTTTTTTGAGATAAACTATAATTCAAGTTATAAGGTAATGAGTAATGTGAAGCTACCTTAGCCTATAAAATCCTTCATTTACACCTTACACTCCTCATGTCAGGCTCTGCTGAAGGTTTTGATGAGGCAGCCAAGGTGATCAACTCAGCTTCCAGGGCAGGCAAGTGGGTGATGTTGAAGAATGTCCACCTTGCCCCAGGATGGCTGGTACAGCTGGAGAAGAAACTTCACAGTCTACAACCACACCCCAACTTCAGACTGTTCCTCACCATGGAGATCAATCCTAAGGTATTGTAGGGCTTATTCCCAATGAAACTATTATTCTTCGTAGATTGATCCAGCTCCGCAGGGACTCTTGCTGAATGCAGTCAATTTAAAAAGATTGACACCCTTCCTCTTGGTGTTGAGTAGAATTCAGAAAAGCTGGTGATTATACAACCACGTTGGAAACAAGATCGTGACTGGTACAGGTGATGCTGAACTTAAACTGTGATAGAATGTTATTTGGTTGAAATTCAGCCTTGATCTTTGTTATTAATATTATTCTTTGACTTAAGTGCTTAATATTTTCAGCTCCCAGTGAACCTGCTGCGTGCTGGACGTATCTTTGTGTTTGAGCCACCTCCAGGTGTGAGAGCCAACTTATTGAGGACCTTCAGTACTGTGCCCTCAGTACGCATGGGCAAGGTAGGGCAGTGTGCCAGTAGAAAACAAGTCTCATACATCATAGCATAGTGGAAAAAAGTACCTGTGATTGTTTTATCAATTACATTGTACATGGTTCCAAGGAATCATATTCACTGATGTTTTAATGATAGTAATCACCTTTGGAACAAAAAAATCTCTGTAATCTCTTCTAAAAGCCATTGAGGTTTTCTATACATATTAAATATTGTAAAAAATTATAAGATGATAATTACACTTTCAAGAAGAATCATTTCTGTTATCAGGATAATATATATATATTTATGTCCTATTTCCTTATCTATGAAAAGTTATAGGAAAGAAATGAGATATCTATAAAAGAAAAACAAAGAAAATGTACACATTATTTATCACATGTACCAGGCTCCCAGTGAGAGAGCTCGTCTGTACTTCCTCCTGGCCTGGTTCCATGCTATAGTCCAGGAGAGGCTGACCTATGTCCCCCTGGGATGGTCCAAGAAGTATGAGTTTAATGAGTCTGACCTGAGATGTGGCTGTGACACCATTGATACCTGGGTGGACATGGTGGCAATGGTAAGTACTAGGTACAAGACCAGTCGTCCACTTTCTGTGAGACATTTAAAAATTTTTAAATGATCAATGGTATGATTGTAATTTCTGTTATGTACATATAAACTAATGATATAATATATTCTATCAATATGAAGAAGAAGCTTTATTGTAGTCAGATGTACCTCTGAAGCAGTCATAAAGCATGTGTATAAAAATCAGCACTGTACTCTGTGTCTCATATCAATGATTCTCTGTAACTGTAGGGCCGCAGTAACCTGCCCCCAGAGAAGATCCCATGGGATGCGCTGAGGATTCTCCTGTCCCAGTGTATCTATGGCGGCAAGATTGACAATGACTTTGACCAGCGCCTCCTTAACTCCTTCCTGAACAAGCTGTTCACACCTAAGAGTTTTGATGCAGACTTCCCACTGGTAACTGCAGCAGAGGCTGGCAAAGCTATCACCATGCCTGATGGCATCAGGTCAGTACTAATTGTTGTATATATTTTCTTTTACTTAGTATTATATTTTCATTGAGTTTGTTGTATAAAAGTGAGATGTAATGTGAAGTGTGAAATTTGTGAATTTGTAAATCTGGTTCCTTCTTTTGTCACATTGCTAATTGAATTCATTTGTATTATTTTATTATCTTCGTTAAAAAAAAAAGAATACAAAACAGGAGGAAGTTCACCAATATTTAATAACCTTGTCATTGCACTAACATATATAATATACACATCCATATGATGCTTTAACTCTTAGTATATCTGTCTTACAGACGTGAGCAGTTTGTCCAGTGGTCAGATAACAGGACAGAGCTCCAGACCCCCTCATGGCTGGGACTGCCCAACAATGCTGAGATTGTCCTCCTCACTAACCAAGGTAAATATTATCAGTAGTGTCCTAATTATATAACATCAAAACTCTTTATGGGATTAGTGCTAATCCATATTGAAAATTGGACTTTCAGTTTCATTTCAGTGTATCAGTGTTCATTTCTGAAATCTGGACCTTTAATTGTTACTGGATATCATTCACTTAGTCATCCTGAAAGAATGTTCCTAAAACTGTGTTGTAAAGTTGATTAATTACTGATATTACTTGCTTTCAGGCTCTGACCTTGTGAACAAGATGCTGAAGATGCAGCTCCTGGAAGATGATGAGGAGTTGGCGTACGGAGGGGTGGAGGAAAAGAAGAAGAAGGAAGCAGACGGCAGACCTGCCTGGATGAGAATACTGCACAACTCCGTTGTCAACTGGTTCAAACTGGTTCCTAAGGTGAGAGAAACGGGTTCAAGGAGAGAGACACTGATTTCTAGAGTGTATGAGGACATTGTTAGTTTGCTCTGAAATAAAACTGCAGGCTTTTCTGGGGGAAGGGGGGTATGCATTGAGATAAACAAAAGAACTTGCTGAGGGCTATGGTGGAATATCTTACGAGCTTTTTATTTTATCTTATTTATTTTTTTTTCTCCTTTTGGAACCCCAACTCTGTATTTTCTTTAAGAAAGCAACCAGGTAAATTTCAAATGCGTGACAAATTTTATACAATTTTTCAGAAACTTAATATCTTGCGCAGAACAGCAGAGAACATCAAAGACCCGCTCTTCCGCTTCTTTGAGCGCGAGGTCAACACGGGTGCGCGCCTTCTTCAAGACATGCGACGTGACATGGATGACATCATGCTGATTTGCCAAGGTCAGAAAAAACCAACCAATCATCACAGATCAATGATGAGTGACCTGCCAAAGGGTATGTGAAAAAACAATTTGATTTCAACTTTTCTTCATTGAATTCATGAAAAAATGACACCAATTTATTGAATATTTAGCAATAATGTTGATCCTTTTGCTGTCATTGTGTTCAACTCAAAAAAAGTTTAAAGTATAGGTGATGTAACTCTTTAACAAGGAAAATGTAATACCAGTTCAAACTGAAATTGGTTATTCCTCTCATGTTGGACTAAGATTATGCATAATCGTTATGGCAGTACATAGTTATGTTAAATCAAAATAATATCCTATTCACCAGGCATAATCCCATTATCCTGGAAGCGTTACACAGTGCCCAGTGGTATGACAGTGATAGAGTGGATCACAGACTTCAGTGAGAGGATCAAACAGCTCCAGGCCATCTCTGCTGCCTCACAGTCTGGAGGAGCCATGGAGCTGAAGGTAAGATGGGGATTTTTTAGCCTTTTTTTCTAGACATTTACTTGAAATTACCACTTTCTGTAAGGCAGAAATGCAGGTAGTGGATGGATTTTTTCTTTAATTAGACTTATAACTCCCTAAAGTTGAATATTTTGGAAATATGAATGCATTTTGTGGTTTTACGTTTTAAAATTTCAATCTGATATTTATAAGGGGATGTGGTATTAAACTGCCCCAAAGGAAATTTAATTTTGGTTTAAAGAACTGTTTATCACAATTAGGCTAATAAAAAGAAATTGAAATTTAGGTTCTTTGAACATCAAAGAAAACTTTTGGGGGACTATTTCTTTTGCCTCTGTATAGCTTGAGTTTCGTTCAGTGTCCATCTGCTGATACACTCCTAAGTTTCTTCCTGTTAGTTTTTAATATTTATTTAATTCCAGAACTTCACTGTGTGGTTAGGAGGGTTGTTTATACCAGAGGCCTATATCACAGCCACCAGACAGTATGTAGCCCAGGCCAACAGCTGGTCTCTGGAGGAGCTCTACCTGCAGGTAAGTGTGTAGAAAATAGTGTAAATGCAGCTTGTCTCTGGAGGAGCTCTACCTGCAGGTAAGTGTGTTGAGAACTGTGGAAAATGGCAGGTCTTTGAAGAAAATCTACCTGCCGGTTTGTCTGAAATGTGGCTTATGCCTGAATCTGCCAGTAGTTTGCTTACACTACACGTTTACACTTTTTCTTTATATTTTACAGTGTCTATTCCATTCCCTTCCAATAATTTCATTATATACTTGAAAGCGTGTTTCTGTAGATGTACTTTTTGTAATGTTGATGACCCTTTAATTTTATAGAACATATTTCTGTTGACGTCTTAAGCATTTAACTTTTTTTATAGGTTTGAAGAATGTGGTTTTGTAAGGTTTATCTTCTTTCTGTGCAGGTGTCAGTGTCCAACAAAGGCCAGGACCTGAAGCTGGATGACTGTAGTTTTGGAGTGAAGGGATTGAAGCTACAGGGAGCTCTGTGTGAGAACAACAAACTGAAGCTGTCCTCCACCATATCCACTGACCTGCCTTTTACTGCCCTGGGCTGGAGAAGGTGAGCTGTTGAGATGTTTTACTGTCTTATTTTATTTTCAAGAAGCCTTTGTGTACTGTACGGCATATGGTGGGTAACGTTCCCACCTTTCGTTACATTTTTACATACACTGAATATTTTCCCACTATATTTCATTATTTTTAAATTAAAATTATTGAATATTCTCTCACATGAAAAACTTACCTGGTTATTTTATTTCACCAAGTTCATTGTTGATATGTATCAATAGTTTGATTTATCTAACAAATTTATCCTAGATGAAGCCCAAAGTTCCTGTTTGTTATAATAAAAATAATAATATAAACCCTCCTTGTTTCCAGAATGGAGAGTGGGAAGAAACCCCAGGGTAAAGTAACCCTGCCTGTGTACCTGAACAGTACCAGGGCCCAGCTACTGTTCACCCTGGACTTTGACACCCAGGACACAGGCTCTGGCAGAGATCACAGCTTCTACGAGAGGGGCGTGGCTTTGGTCTGCTCTAATCTCTGAATGGCTGATATTGGTGTGGATTCCTAACTCCACACGGACTGAATTGACTACTAATGCGTATAAACTGTCATAGTTTGTGAAATCGTCATTATGAACTTTGTCTGTGGCTGAATTAATAGACTTGAAAATGCTTTGGTTGTAGACGTCACATTTATTAGATATTCACCAAAAAAGGGGATCTTAACATTATTCAGAACTGACTTTATATATAGTGACTTCAAGGATCGGTAATATTTCATGAAATTTGTAGTGTGCAAAGGATAAGAAGTACATTCATTGTACAAATGAATTTGATACCTTAGGGTTGTCCATACTGCCGTGTAGGAAATGGAAAGATACCGAACTGAAGAACTGTGCCTAAATGACATACTTTTTCTGCTCTTCTGAAATGTGTAACACACGTGGTTCCAGTTTGCTTTTTTCCCCACTATATCACGTATTACAGTATACAAATGTGAACATGACGTGTTAATCCAATTAATAAGGTTGACTGACCTATATTAACGATTTGCCCTGTATTGCATGCACTGAAATAAATAGAGTAGAAAAAGAACGTTGTTAAGAATGAATGAATGTGAGAATCAAATATTCTGTAAACACTGGGTGTGCATAACTGAACAAAGTGATCAACGCATTTTGAAATATTTAATTTCTAATCATCTATAATTTTACGTGCAGGCCTTATTTTTTAATGGCGGCGATAGGAATTGTTTGTATGACAGTTATTAAATTTATGAATATCCACAAGAACGCGAGGGATTAATGGCTTGCATGAAAAATTAACAAAAAGTAGTTAGGTCCCGATTTTAAATGTTTATTCGTAAATACTATACCGATTATATAATGATACAATATAAAGTTTGAAAAAAAAAATACGCCTTTTAGGAAAATAATAGAAGGAAGTTTTATCAGGATTTTATACTATAAAATAGTTTATAAATACTATACTGAAAATATATTTATAAAACATGCTTAATGGCAGTTGCATCCGTGAACAAGACATGGTCGATATCGTCTTACTGTCAACGGCAGGGGTAATGTAAGGACATGGACGGATATATAGGGGAAAACACCGACCCCCTAAGTGGCGCGATTTGCACAAATCAACTGCAAGATCAACAGTCAAGGACGTTTGAGCGTATATTGACAAACTCTTGCCTCTGAAACAATTGAATATGAGCACTATTTTTTATGTACAGACACAGATGTCACCTGCGTCTGTCGTCGCCATTTACCTTTCAGAACCATGAGGATAATAAAATCCCCCACTTCAAATAACGTGAGAACGCTGGCTCCAAGGATGAGTCCTAGCGCCCCTCCAATGTCACATCCTAGTGTGAACGCATTGTAGGCTTGGTACTGCTCTCTTCTCTCGTATGAAATTTCCCGGAAGAATATGTCGAGTTGAACAAAGTTTTTCCTATACTTGTTGACTTTCGTTTCATTTGTTGTGGTGGCACTGTTGTAGGCGTGGTAATCCGCGACTGGTGCTTGAGACAAACTGACTTCGTACTTGATGGATTCACATGCTACTGGACATGTATGGCTGCACTGCCCCTTTTCCTGGATGAACAAGTTATAATTCGGTGTGTAGCAGTTGAAAAGCTGTTCAGGGTCACAGAGACGCGCTCTAGGTCCTTGGTGGTTTTTAAACTTTAAAAATCGAACGCACTGACATTTCTTTTCCATGTACTCGTAGAGGCATTCCAGCCGGCACGCAGACTGAGAGTAGACGACGTGGTGTTTCAGTTTGATGTCCCTATTACACTTCCCCCACTGTGACGTGTCGAGGTTACTAATCTGGAAATGAAGGCAATACCAGTATAAATGTTTGACTTGTTTTTCTCATACACAAAACTTAATATAAATGCCAATTTGTCAGCATTTACGCTTATTCCTTTTTGTCTCTTTATTTATTCATTCATTTAATTATTTATCCAATTATTTGTTATTGGTGTTGTTTTCATCATATTAATACTGTTCGTAAAGTCGTTTGAAAGACTTCGGCGGAATCTTAAAATAGTAGAATTTTTTTAAAAACGCACTTTAAGAATTATAATTAATATCTTAGTCCAAGGAACTAACTACAGCAAAATACAAATTTGGTTTTAATCTGCTTGTGTACAATAAGCTGTTCTGTAGTCATATGTGCAATTAGATTTCCAACTCTGATTCGGTAAAATGTTGCAGTTAACACTACACTAGTACCTACGTTGATCATCTTAAGTCCAACTAAAGTATGCATTCCGGCGCCCACTGAGAATCCCATATCAGTAATCAACGGCGGTTCTCGAGGATCGTGGACCATCACCTGAAAGGAATACAAGATCTGCCTTCACTTTGGCGTGAAAGAGGCGGAGAGACCATTACAGGATTAAGCTTTCTTTCGTGTCATATTTAGGCCGAGGGCCAACTAGCACTAGGCTTTTCTCATTCTGAATGGTCCCATTTATGGGTTTGGAAGACCCATCCACTTGTCTGGGTTCTCTGAAGCTTATTAAGTCATTAGGGCAGTACCATACCTCTTAGCAACATTTTAGGATTCTTGCAAACTGTTGCTGCAAATACGCAAATGAGGCACTGTTTTAAATTTGAAAGAATATGAAGACTCGCAAACATTTTTTTATTGCAACAACGTGCAAATACCTTAATGCAAACTGTTTATTTTGCTGAAAATTTGCTGCAAGCTTTTCATTTTACTGAAGGATATATTTCATGTGTATTCACAGGAGGAATTTCGACTGTTTCAAGTGTTTTTTTTTTCTTTTTTTTTTTTCAAATGTTTTGCCTCAAAGTTGATCACATGCCTGGTTGTACCAAATAAAACTATCAATCCATTAAGAAATATATATTTCAAGTACAATTACCTTAAAACCAGCTCCTTTTCCTGCAAAGCCCCTGAAATAGTCGGCCTGTTGGACATCCAACGTCAACTGGAGCCCGAAGAGACTACCACTGCTGTCGCTCTCCAACCGTTTCTTATCTCTTACTTCTATTAAATTAAAGCATTCAATAATTAAATGCTTTAATTTAATAGAATTAAATGCTTTAATTCTATTAAATTAAAGCATTTAATTATTGAATCTGACTGTTGGGTATTTTTTATGCCACTTTTACGGTCGTAGGCATTTTATCACTTTAGCTACAAAATTAGCAAAATTTTTCAAACTTGAAAAAAGTTATTGACCACTGTCATGTGAAAATAATAAGTAAATCCTACAACTTGCGTAATTAAATGAGATCAAGTGTAGTGTGTACAGTGTACGTTTCAAATGATCAAAATCACCAAAAAATGGCTGGTTGAATGTATTAGCCCTCCTTACCGTGATTAAAAGAATAACAGACTCCCATATCCGTATAGATACGGCTGAAGTTATCCATACTGCACTTTGTTCCGCGCCATATACACTGGAGAATTGAAAAATCCACATTGAAAAAGCGATTACTCATGTGTTCGATAACTTTGTAAAAAAGATTTAATGGGCAAATTTAGTTTCTGCTGTTTTATAAGTAAACATTCATATACCGGTTGTGCACATTTGTTTTTTATATAATATATATGCTTTGTATATAAAGACATTAAAGATATATACGTTTACCTTTTGAAGAAATGTTTCTGTGTTATTCAGAACCGAGTCCCATTCGAATCTGCTGTTGTTCAAACCATCAAAATTTTGATCGCCAAGACTAAGTGGGAAATATCTCTCAAACGCTTCCAGTTGCCCCATGTTTCTTGCTGTAAACTTCGAAATAGCGTTATAGTTGCATAGGGTGACTGCTGGAAATTTTACGGAACGCGGAATGACAGTGTATGTGTTGACACGAACAGGTCGCGAGGAGTAAAAAATTGAACGTTCGTAAATCTGGAATCCCATCAGTATTAAACCACCTAAGAAAAACGCCAGCCATATTATTCGCCGAAGAAAACCCGATTCTTTGCTCACTATTTCTTGCAGAGCTTGGCAGTTAACACGATCTGCAAATTGCTCTATTGCTGGCTGTGCTTGAACAGAGCTATTGTCAGTTTTGCGCAGGTACGGAGAGGGCGAAATCATTTTTCAATGTGATATTTCCAACTAACTGTCACAAAATCGAGATGCCGTTCTTAAATATGACCTGCCATCGTTGGTGACGTCGAACTGTTGGCAATTAGAGACTGAAGATCATCAATAATTCTAAATGGACTTGGTGATCGCATATGGCACAAATGGTCTGTCACTAATGAAAAGTTGAGCAAATTATCGACATCACTCATACTGTTTAGCAACAACTTTGGCAGATTACACGACGTGCATAGACTGACAACCAGTCTAACCGTCCTCGTAATTTTGCCAAAAAGTCAAATATTCTCAATTCTGGAAAAGTATTATAAGTGCAAAACGTGGGGACAGTCGTGTTTTATCCCTACTGTAACATGGCGTAACTACTGAAATGCCACACTTCAACAGACAGAAGCATGAAACTCCTGATTTTAAATAGGTGTCATTTAAAGAGAACGAATTTGATTTAAATATTAATGAAACGCCGAGCAAATCGGCATTAAATATCTTACATTCTCCAAACAGCTTTGAAATAAATCGATCCCAATCTTAATTAGACGAACTCAAATTGACCAATATTATTAATATTTATCAGTTTTTATGACGCAACTTCTGTCCCAGAAGTTATTTAGTAATGTGTTTCGCAATTAACGTGATTAATTTGAAGAGGATGCTCTTTGGCCTTCACAGTTTTATTTGATTGGTTAATTTGTCAGAATCAAATTGTAAGTTTCTGCCACGTGCATAACACATGCAACCTGAGTTTTCGGTACGATCCAAATACTATGTAATGCAAATAATATTTTAGATCTTTAATTTAAAACAAGGCTCTTAGTGGTTGCCTAAGAAAGAAATATTGAATGTTGGGATGACAAATCAAAATGGAAATTCTGGCAAAAGACAATGTTCAGAAAACAAGTAAATGCGTGATCGCTACGGAGAAATGGGGTATAAATACTCTCGAATTTGTATGAAAAATTGGTCGGCGAATAAACTTTTGAAAACTCTAACTTGTCGTAGTCACTATAAAATTATTTTCACTTTAATTGTTTTTAAACAATTTTCAAAATATACTTATTTGGTACATCTGGTAGCATGTAGAAGATGATTTCAATGAAATGACTATACTGTACTGTCAAGGGGCGCTCCAATCCCTAGTGCAATTCATGCTCTGGGGATTATTCAAACGCCATTAAGTGAGATTTTGTGATGTTATGTTTGAAGCTTTTGCAGGAGTATCAGAGGAATAATTAAATTAATTGGTGTTGCTATCACTTCAACTAACCTCAATGCACTTACTGATCTGGGATAGTCCTACCATGTGGGCTCGAAACTGCGACAAGACACCAGCTAGTACACTCCTGCCTTAGGGGCCTACACTATATATATTATTAAAAATAATAAATTATATTTTAGAGAACATCTTTACCATTTGCAATATTCATTATGTACAAGTGTACATAAATATTTCGTAAAAAAAAATAATTGAAAGAATCTGCACACGGGTCTGACAATATGGTAAAAGTGCACAAGTGGCAGTTAAATTCTTCTTGTGACCAAGGACTTCACTGTGTGACTGTGTAACGGACGATTTTGACATGTGCTCTACATAACGAAACGTGTAATTTAAACGTAACAATATTAGTTTTTATGACGTCGATAAATTTGTGATTGATTCAACGACGTTGTTGGCGTTGACTACAGTTTCTAATAGCAATAAGCAGCAATGGGACTTGCTAGAAATGGTAGGTTCATGTCTATTTTTTCGGCGTTAAAGCAACAGATCAGAATGTTTATGAAGCTTTAAATGTATGGGAATCACAGATGTATAAATAGCATATTACTTAAATTAAAAAAGAAATGCAGTGCAATTGATCACTTTTCATTAGCAAAGCTGTCTTGAAAAACAAATAGAATTTATATGTTCTTTAACAGCATTTCTAAGAGATGTTTTTTTGAACACGTTTATTAGTTTATGAGAATCATAAATATTGTACATATGTGGAGATGGCAAATCGCTATGTATTATGAGATATCTTCGAGATAAAACAATGTGAAGATACAGAAATGTAATTAAATGCGGTGGTAGTCTCGTTATTTGAGGCAGAATTCACGTTAGTGCCGAAACCCCTTTGGTAACCATCTATGGAAAGTTGAGCCACGCCAGATAAAGGAATATTCTGGAAACCTCCTGACTCTCATTTGCTCCAGGGCACTTCAGAAATAATTTATTTTGCAAGATGAAAATACTCTTTTTATCTCCTTATGCGTTGGATCAAAAGGGCCTATTGGTTGCTCTTTTAAAGGGAAAAATCATTCTTTCGATGAGAACAGTATTAAGTATTCATTTATAATATAATTAAACAAAAGCTATCTTTTGTGATTGTCGTTAGCAGAGTTTCTTTCCTTTGCCTTTCAGAATCATGAGAATAATAAAATCACCCACTTCAAATAACGTGAGAACGCTGGCTCCAAGGATGAGTCCTAACGCCCCTCCAATGTCACACCCGAGTGTGAACGCATTGTATGCTTGGTACTGCTCTCTTCTCTCGTATGAAATTTCCATGAAAAATATATCGAGCCGAGCAGTGTTTTTCTTGAAATCAATAACATCTCTATAACCGGAGTCATTAATCATCTCTTCAGCATAATAATCTGCGAATGGTACTTGAGACAGACTCACTTCATACTTGATAGATTCACACGCCACAGGGCAGACATGTTTGCACTGCCCCTTTTTCTGGATGAACACGTCATAATTCGGCCCGTAGCAGTAGAACAACTCTTTAGGGTTACAGAAACGGCCCGTAGATTGTCTTATTTTTCCAAACTTCAGGAACTTGACACACTGGCACTTTTCTATCATGAAGTCGTAGAGGCATTCGCGTCGGCATGCGGACTGAGAGTACTCCGGGTGGAACTTCAGTGTTATGTCCTTGCGACAGCTGCCCCACTGCGTTACGTCAAGGTTACTGACCTGAGATATGAAAAGACAAGGACTGTTTTAAGTGATAAACGTTTTTTAATTAGGGAAATAACAGATCTACGTTTTCTGAGCTGGAGACATATAACGTGTTTGTTTGAACATGCGCCAGTTTCTTAGGGTTAAATCAAAAAGAGAAAAATGATTGAATGTAACTGTAAAATCTAGCATCTTTGCACAAGAAAAAGTATTTGATTAGGTTATTTTAAATATAAAGATGCTATATACAATTATTCTGAAAGCACTTTAATAGAATGAAATTTTGGATATCGTCAATATGATTCAAAATGATTCTCAGAACTCTGCCTGAGAAATATGCCGTGTTATACTCGCCACACGTCCTTACATTGATCATCTTAAGTCCAACTAAAGTATGCATTCCGGCGCCCACTGAGAACCCCATATTGCTCATCATCGGTGGATCTCGGGCGTGGACCCTCACCTGTAAGGTTCACGAAATTAACTGTCTTTATTACATCCCTGACCAGTCTATGTTCGTTTGTGATGAGATATTACCAAGAATTAAAGTCTTAGCAAATTATCAATATTATAAAAATCTATATAACGTAACCATCAAACACATCTATTTGTAAGCTGTTTCACTAATTAGGACCAGTCGTTTTTTAACATCTTATAGGAACTATGTAATAGAGAACCTACATTTTCGTTTAAGACAATATATGTGAACGGTGGGCAAACCTCTCGCAAATCATCCAGGTGAATGACCTTCCGGGTTTCGGTTGACAACTAAATTCTGTAATCATTAAACTAAATACGTTTTCATAGTTGGGATGTTTATGAGGAATCGAATACTATTTACGGGATAGTTATCTTTGGAATTCCGAAATCAAGAATGAAATGCTCTTAAACTGTGTTAAAGCACATGTATTACCTTGAAACCTGCTCCATAGCCAGCAAATCCTCTGAAATAGTTTCTCTGATCCACGTCTAACGTCAGCTGGAGGCCAAAGAGTCTTCCACTACTGTCGCTCGTTAACCTATGACCGCTATACCCTGTAATATAACGACATATAATGATAAAATACTATTATTATTATTATTATTATTATTATTATTTCAACAACAAAAACAAAATGATGATAAGAATGAGGAAGATTATACAACTCTGTGTTCATTGAATAAATGTTGCAAAGACAAGATTATACAACTCTGTGTTCATTGAATAAATGTTGCAAAGACATCTCTTTATTAAAAAAAGGATGGCAATGCAATATCATAATATTATCGAGAAGAAAGAAGGAACAAACCTTACCTGAATTAAAGGTGTAGCAGATCCCCATATCCGTATAAACAGGAGTGAAATTTTTCATGCTGCAGCTTATCCCTCGAAATGTACACTGTAATATAAATGTATTATATACATTTGGTATTTAATACGGAGTATGTCAGTTTGAAATGTAGGCCTATGTCTTGGTTAAACACGTACGTGTGTTGTCTTTAAAACTCTATATCGGACAGGAGAATAGAGGAATGTGAAATTTGGCGTGTCAGTAGCGTTTAACTGACTATCTGGTCTTTGGTAGGCTATTGTTACATTACGTAAAGTGTGGTGAATTCATTGAGCGGTTCTTTTGGGTTCGTCCTAGTGCGACTATGAAAGAGCATGGTTTTTCCGAAAAAGTCTATAATTTGGGAGACGATTTTGAATTTTTGAATATTAACTTGCTGTTGTATGGTGAGTGTACTGTAATAACAATGACGCGAAACAGACAAACATATTATCAATCCTTTTTGAAATGCCTTATTGGTGAAATTCTTTAAAGAATTGATGTCACAATGGCACTGTAAACAGTTTATGTGTAATTCAATAAAACGATGAAATCGCTTGTTTTCATTTTCAACAGTTGGAAAGACAAGAGGAAAGTTATATGAAGACACATTAAGGTAACCATACTATTTAAACATCTAAAGCTATATATTAAATAAGAAACTTACCTCTTTAACGAATGGTTTCGAGACATTTAGAACAGAGTCCCAGTCGAACCAATCGTCTCCTAAACCCGTGAAATTTTCACTGCCAACTTTAAGAGGAAAATATCTCTCAAACTCTTCCAGGAGATCCAGTTCCCTTGCCCTCATTTTCGAAATGGCATTATAATTGCATATTGTTACCGCCGGGAACATCACGGAAAGCGGAGTCACGGTGTAGGTGTTAAAACGCACCGGATGCCCGGCATAAAACGTAACGCGTTCGTAAACCTGGAACGCCATCAATATCAGTCCGCCCAAAAAACACACCAACCATATCAACCTCCTGATATACCCCGATTCTCTGCTCACTATTTCCTGCAAAGCTTGACAGCTGACACGTTCTGCAAATTTCTCTATCACTGGTGTTTCCTGGTCGGAGCTGCTGTCAGTCTTGCGTGGTAATCGGCTGGGAGAGATCATTTTTCAATGGAATAATGATCCCAACTCTTAGTAACAAAATCGGTATACCGTTCTTTAATATAACCAGTCTCCGATGATGACGTCGAACTGTTGACATGATTCAGCAATTAAGGATTAAATGTCATCAACGATTCCAAATGGATGTAGTTATTGAAAATGACACTAAAACCTGATACTAATGTAAAGTTCAGTAGAGCAAATGGGCGACATCAATCAGACAAAAACAGCTTTGGCAGATTAAACGACATGCAAGGACAGATAGTCATTAACGGACGGACATCTCATGAGCGGGGTCATCATTCCTTCCTCGCTTAAATTGGTATTCCTATACCTTTCCCACTTTCTAATCGTGGAATAAGAGGGGGAGGTCCTTGTCTGCGAGGACACTGAGGGGAATGTCAAGAGTTTCGTTTTGGAAAAACGATTCTGGAAATAATGGATATCAAATAATTCGTGTTTGTAGTTTGTATCACTAAAAAGATTAATGGCATAATTAAGAGATGCACGGAATGTGTTGGCTCTGTCCCCGATAATTGAAAAGCCTCCCAGTCATATTGCAAGCGATGCCAGATGTGCTATAGGCTGCGTTCACAACCGTGGACTAGTCAATCCGAGAATAAAACGTGCCTAGCATTTGGAAATAGATTCTTGCCTCCTACGCGGGCTGTCCCTGCAGAGCAATTAAATCCCGGATTGTTTTCAAGTGGGGTTAGTCTTTTCTTGACAAGAAACCAGTTAAATCAGAAATAGAGACACAACCAATGGATAGAACTGTTTATGATAAAACGGTATTGTATCAGGTAAACACTGACATTGAAAAAAAAAACGGCCCTCCATTTGTTATTAGCATTGAGGACTAAGGTGAATTATTGTCATAAAGGAATCACTCCCAGGATCGTTGCACGTGCGTAAGTGTCTCGATTCCATGGCCCCGCATCTCGAAATAGAATCGGTTATGGAATCGAGACACTAACGCACGTGCGCAACGTAGCGAACCTTTCGAGATACGGAGCCCTGGTGTTAAAGCAGAAATATAAGTCTGCAGACAACCTTTACAAAATGTATGCCCACAAGGTAAATATGTCGGCTCTTTGTACTCTTCAAGGCATAAAGAGCAGCTGATAAAATGTTCAGTTATTTTGGCTCGAAGGCTTTCTTCATCACCTCTGCTTGCACCAGCTGTAGCCATCTTGGGTGTTTGGAGTGAACAGTTCGTAGTAGAGCAGATATACATTTATCTATAAACCAGTTGACTCCCTTTCAGGGCCAGGATGGTTTATTTTTGCATTTAACTGACATATTTTTAACTTAAACATATAGTTGAGTTTTGTACTAATTTTACATTAAAAAAAATATTTTGCTCGCATTTTAATTACTGAGTAGAAATAATTTTTTTCAGAAATTAATATGTCAACAGAAAATTGCAACCAAAGATGTGATGAAAAGTATTTTACACATGTCGAAGCCAAATTGAAATCCAGGCAAATTTAAAATCTGTCAAGGCCAGACTGAAAGGACTGGTGAACATGTTGTCTGTAGCCTTATGACTCTGGTCTACCTACAAGATGAGCCACTTGTTGTTAACAATAATATTATATGTTTTATAACAGTGCTAAATTATCATGACTTGTGTAATATTCCAACGATATCACCTCAGGAAAAAAGAATGAAGAAAAAAATAGAAAGAGATGGATCCGTAGAAGAATATAGTCGTTGGCATGCACCTATTCGTATTAATTTTATAAATATTTGGATTCAATGTCTGCAGTGTTATTAACTTATTCAACCGTTTAATATACACCCCCAGTCGGATTTGCCCCATCCCAATCCTTTCTTTTAGCATTGGATGTGACAAAAATACTCATTTTAAGGCAAGTGATATCATGGGCCACTAGTATAAAAATCACTTGTGTACATCAGGTACAAAGCACTGAGATTTGTACATTTTTGTCAAAAAGTTCAGGCGTACACACGCCATGTCTTACAGTGTAATACATGTAGGTAGTAACCAGCGCATCAAACCATACATGTATATTATAAGTTTTCAAATAATAATTCAAGAGGTCAGGATTTTTCCTAGTTGTGCAAATTGTTAGTGTATACTACACAAAGCACAACATAGCTTGGCCTTTTTTTATTATTAATTAACTTCCACAGTGTCAAAAGATCCCAGTATATGTACATGTGACTGGCCTACATGCTGTATGTCACCATGTGCCTCGGGTCTCTGTCAACAAGATAAGCTGAACATTTTAGCATGCATTGTACAAGTGTTTTCATGTGCACGAGTTCAACAGCACTGTTAGTGGATTCAGAAGGAGTGAAAAATGGAATCACATCTATAAAACATGGGTTGTCACTCTTGTGTACCTTATGCCCACCAGTTAAGGAGGGAGGGAGACGGGAGCTGGGCAAAGTTTAGGTACACCCCATTTGATTTCCTGACAAAAATAGTTAATATTTACACATTTATTGCATCTCATCAGAGATAACGAGATATGTAGCACACAAAAATGGAAACACAATTTTTTTAATTGGGGTGATTTTAAATTATTCTTGATTATATTAATTGTTTCCTGGTCCTTTTCAGGGTGACAACGCGCAGAGGGATATGCAGTGGTCGAGAAAGACCCGTATTGGTGTTAGCCATGAACGGATGCCGAGACTGACCGATGAAGAATACACAGCAATACAGCTGTTGCTTAACAGTAATGTCCCTGTCCGAAATAGGACTGTCGCACACGCACAGAAAGTTTACCTTCTGCAACTGACAGAACATCCGTATCGTGAACAGACTCTCTCACGGGTCTTGATAGACGGCAGGATTTTTCTTCTTCTTTCAGAGCTTAATAGTTTTATTAAACATTTTTATTATAAAACTAAAGGTGATGGTGCAAGAAAATTACGGTATCGACTGAGATCTACTGGTATTTTTCTATGGAATCGGCGAGAAAGAAATTCAAAAATTTATAAATTCACCATAAAAGAATACCTAAATTTTATAATGAACCTACCCTGATATCATTAAAGGAAGACTATTCAACAAAGAATACAAAAAGGCATTACAGACATATCATCTGAGGTAGTAAAACACAAGGGTATAAAGTAGAAGTACATATTGTCTAGCTATTATTGATGTTCTTAGTCGGTATTTGTGGCTGAGGCCCTAAAAACCAAATTAAAGAGCATAAGGGGTGGCTTCCAGCGTCGAGAACATTTTGTCAAGAATGGGGAACAGCAACCAGAGTGCAGACAGATCAGGGATATGAATTTAAAAGACTTTTCAAAGAATTATCCAACAAATTGAGAATCAAATCTTAGGTTATCTGAAGCCTGCATTCTCTGTAAAGCATTGACGAATCTTTTATTATCCTCTCAAAATTATATCAAAGAAACACAACATAAACAGACGTTTGTCCAGTTTGATTGACCGGTCATTGACTGACAGATAGAAATTATATATATATATATATATATAACACCGGAGACAATCAACAGCAGCAAACAAGGGATAGTACAGTACATACCCGCTTTCTAAAAGCAAAGATAACCTCACAGATTTCATTAACTTGCACGTTCAGAGAGCTCGGCCAATCATTGCGCAGGCATGAGAAAAAACAAGGGCTCAGCCAGGGAAGCTATAATCCTGTGTAAAAACGTAAATATCCAGGTACACGCATATAACCCGCAGTCTCATTTCACAAGAAGATCACATATCGCGCGAACGCCATAATGTCTTCCATGGCCTTTCTCTTGATGCTGGCAGTCTACACGGTAACAAACGCAGACGCCGTGCTGGGAAAGTATAAGGATGAAACTGCTACGAGGAGGATCCACTTTCCTAAACCAGGCCGCTGTAACGTGGGACTCTTGATGAACCCTGATTGGGATAAGGTTGGTACACCTTCTCTTGTGGATTGGAAAGTCACAAATAAAGAAAACCCTGAACTATAAGCGTGATTGATGCGCGCAAGCTCCTTCATTTTTAACGATCCATATTCGCACGCTTATCCTCTGGCAGTCAGCGACTAGCGCAAAGTGCAAATGTGCAACTTTCATAGTTTTGTAGAAAGTCTAAAAGGTATACAACATTGGTCAAAAAGGTTGTCCCACCCCCAATTTAATGTGCTTTTGTTTATAAATGATCACATCACAGGAGTTAATTGCTATGAATGGTGATTTTCATTCCAGACACCATAACAAACATGATTAGTGGTACAGGAAATACAAACTAGCCGTTAAGACATCCATATTTAATGTCATTTATTCACATTTATTTCATGTAGGCCCTACCCCCCTCCGATGTTCCGAATCCGATGTTCCACTGTCATTTCCATGGAGGTTAATAAATACCCATTAAATTTAAATGACACCACCAAATGTCACCAAATTTACACACAATTAGCATTAGGGAATGCTCGTTAAAGATTACGTGTCTATTAGCGTGTGTGGCTATCGCGCACTGTAATTTTCTCCTGTAGACGGCGCTACTGCCTTCAACAAGGGTAACAATTCTGTTTTATGGGATATTGTCCCATGTTTCCTAAAAAGCTTGGCGGAATTGGTCCAGACTATTTGGGGTTTAGTTCTCCTCTGGATTGCACACTTCAATTCACGCCACGGGTGCTCAGTAGGTTTATTATTAGGATTCAAAGATGATATCTCCAGCCTCAGAACATTGGGTTTCTGCAACAAATTACTCACAACATGAGAACTGTGTGGAAGTTTGCTGACATGATGAAGCCTGGATCACCCCCGAAGTCCCCTCTTGCAGATATAATGAGGTATCAGTTAAGAATGTTAAGTTCAGTGACCCCAGAAATTCCAGAACTTGGTCAACCATCACTAGGAACAAGTTTGTTTTGCTGAAGAATCGATGTATTTCTTGTATGCCTTCGATGGTTAAATTAGGGCATGTAGACATGTCGTAGAATGCTTTTTGCAATGTTTGTGAAGGATATTATCGCCTGAGGTGTCAGGTCAGTCCACGTTTGGAGAGATTTCCAAGCCCATGGTTTTAGTGCATTGTTCTTACCGAAAAAGAACGTTATTGGGACAATTCAAAGGAACGTCCTCAACAAATATCTCACTCCATTTGCAAGAGGTGACTTCAGGGATACTGCAGGCGTCATCGTGCAAATGCACTTGCTCACAACTCTCGTCTGCTGAGTGATTTGTTGCAGAAACTCAATGTTTAGAGGATGGAGAAACCACCTTTGAGGCCTGTCATTAACCTGACTAAACATCCGTGACATGAATTGAAGTGTGCAATGCAAAGGAGAACCAAACTCTTAATAATCTGGACCAACTCTCCCAAGCTCTTTAGGAAGAATGGGACAATATTCCATAATACAGAATTGTTACCCTTGTTGAAGGCAGGCCGCGCCACCTACAGGAGGTAATTACAGTACCAGGCCTACCCAACTACCAGACTCGGCACCTAAGGATCCTGTATATCGGACCACACTACCCGTTTTCAAGGTGTGTGTCAGATCTCATTTCGGAGTATCAGTCAGAACACCGACAGGATGAGCCCACGCTCGGCTGTCATCTTGATTGGATAGTAAACGATTGTCGTAAAATCGCTATATGATTTTAAAACCGGGTGCATAAATTTGAAAACCACCTAGAACAACCTTAGACTGCCACATTAATCTAATACAATGCAAAAAAGCCCTATCAAAAGGTGTTAAAACATTAAAACCGAATGTCGTAATGTGCCCATATACCCCCATAGAGACAATAAAATGGAGAACTCTAAAGTAAGAGTACAGTCTAAGGTTGTTCTAGATGGTTTTCAAATTTATGCACCCGGTTTTAAAATCATATAGCAATTTTACGACAATCGTTTACTATCCAATCAAGGTGACAGCCGAGCGTGGATGAGCCCGCAGTCTTCCTACAAAATTTGTTCTGGGGTATGATACTCCGAAATGCGATCTGACACACACCTTGAAAACGGGTAGTGTGGTGCGATATAGCGGTTAATTCGGGATCCTTATGTGCCGAGTCTGGTAGTTGGGTAGGCCTGAGTACTCGGTAAACACAAACACTACTAGACAAGTGACCTTTAACGAGCACACCCTAATGCTAAATGTGTGAAAATTTGGTGACAATTGGTGGTGTCATTTCAATTTAATGGACATTTCTTTGCCTCTGTGAAAACCACAGTAAAATGCCGGATTTGAGGGGATACAGGTTATAAATGTGAATAAATGGTATTAAATATTGATATTCACCGCTAGTTTGTATTTTCTATATCACTAATCATGATAGTTATGGTATCTGGAATAAAAATCACTATTTATAACAATCTTCACCTGTGATGTGATCATTTATAAATAAAAGCACATGATAGTGAAGGTGCATGGGACAACCTTTTTGACCAATGTTGTATATCTGAGAGGATTTCTGGCAAACCGCAGCAGGTTTGCCATTTTTATCCGGCGTTTAAAGAATTTAAACTACCTCCGAGCGTGTAAAGTTAACCAACCGTTAAGAAAATTTACATTTGGTAAGTGCTAAACAACGTTTATGAAACCCGGTTAAACGTTGTTTAAGTTAAACGCTGGATTTAACCGGTGGTAAGTGCAAAACGCCCTTTATAAAACTGGGCCCTGGATGTTATTAAAAATGACATTTAAAATTTCGTAGACTCTTTGATTTGGAATCTAGCAACCCAGTTGGGCAAATGTATAAGAGAGATTAAAGTATTTATATAAAAACAAGAATTGTAGCATTTTGCAACAACATTAATCCAGGTAAAAAGTAGTTCGACTTAATACCAAAATATTGCATAAAAAGTAAATTTTTGTTTTTGATTTTTGTGATTAATTGATTAAGTATTTTCCAACAGGCCTTTAAAAAGATGGGCTTAAAAATATACACAAAGATAAACGATCATTTGTCTAGGATGGGATTTCACAGTACAACAATAAAAACAAAGGTTCGAACCTTATGATCTTTACAATTTTAACACTTTATTGTCAAAAGTTTGCATGCTAGCAGTAAAAGTACATTTAAAACGTAGGCTGTAATTGACGGAAAATAGTATGTTTTAACTTTACAGTCAAGATTGAATTAATTCAGATTTGATGAGGCAGATTCAAGTATGGAAGTTAATTTAAAATGAAAATTAAGGAATGAAAGAAGAAAGAGAGAGATACAAGGCCAAGGAGAGTATACAGAGAGGCATATCGACAGACACACACAGGTAGAACTAGAACCATACATTGTATATGAGTACCACTGTTCCTCTGTTCCTTTCAGAATGCTGGTATATTCACATGGTAGATAGGGGTTTTGTTGTCTTTTGATGAATTGCTTACGACCTTTGATGTTATACTGTGACTTTGTGTTTTCCAGGAAAATTGATTTCATAGAAACATACATATGCTGGTAGCTAAATGCTTAAATCTTTTTCTTTTTTGTTTTGTTGAAATTATCCTCACCCGAGAATAAAAATTAAAATTTGTTTTAACCCAAAAAGGAACAAACGTGACTGTGTCAAATGGAAAACTTTCAACTGCGGAATGTTTTGCTCACTTTGAAGACTGGTTTTGTTCTTTAATTTTTTCCTACAAGTATAACGTTGTAAAAAACATGGCAAACTTCTGTATAGAAAAAATTGCACGATTCTAGTTTGTTTTTCACTGAATATAACACAAAGATAAAATGCAACATGCAAATATATTAAATGAAGTATTTTTTTTATTCGTGGCGCAAAAATAGTGTCTGAAATATCAAACTATACACATGAAAACACTATATATGTTGCAGTCGACAGAAAAAACCTATTACCTGTGACGAAGTTGTTGGCTTGTCTTCGTCATGTTACGCGAGGTAGCAAATACAACTCAGATATTATCTTTCTTATTATTTATTGAACTACTGTCCTGTTATTACCCGCGCCGCTTCCTTCATTTCTATTCCTACCTCATGCAATCTATAGCGGCCTTCTCTCTGTTTACACTAAGCGCAGTTCTATAAATACCATAAGAGCATGTCAATCAACTTAAGTTACTCTACTAAACACTCCCCGCTCTTATTCGCTGCATGCTGTCACTTACTAACGTTACATTATCTCCCGGGGACGATATGCCTGTCCCCAGGCATATTTAAAATTAAAATATACATTAATTAAAAATAAACTTTCTTAAACACTGCATTTGTCTTTTATCATAAATTCATGCAAAACAAAACTAAGTACATAGATTTTGTATTATAAACCTACTTTAAGATAGAAATAAAATTGACATGAAACCCCAAATATAACTTAAAGGAAGATAGATTGATAAATTTTTATGAAAATACAAGTGTTCGTGGATATATTTCGTATCGGCATTTACACATTTCAATGTGCGGCTCAAGAGCACAGATGTTTTTATTTGTTTTCTCCGCGCGGATGTTTAAATCTGTTACTCTCTTATTGTGGCTCTGACACATTTTATTATATAGTTTCTCTCTTTCGTTTGCCATCTGAGATGTTCTTGGGGNACAAGTTATTTCCAAAATGGCGACTGTGGAAGGACTGAATTCACACTAGCGACACCTGGTGCCAAGCGGGCTGGTATCCCCCATTGCGTCCGCATTCGCGAGGTGTGTACCTTTACTCTGCTTAGTTGAAATCTGTTAGGGGATAAATTCAATAACCAATAATTCATTACTTCCAGAAATTCGATTACATTCAAATTGGCATGGAATTCTGGCACTGCCTTACCTTTGTCAACGCGAATATCAGTTACCGAAACTATGTACCCTTAATACCTGACCTCTTCTCGCGCAATGAAACTATTCAGATAATATTAAATTTACATTCCTCAGCCTTCGTAAAACTAAGTTTACCTCACTATGGCTGGCTACCATAAAGTCATCTAAATATTGCAAAAAGCATTTTCTAAAATAATCGTTTAAAGCAATTATCTTACCTTCCATTTTATGTTTGCCCAATTCCAATCTCCCATCTAGATACTTTGTGTTCGCCTGCGTATTTTCGTCCGGTGATCGTTCTCTCTCTTTCCGACAAGACTCATGATGTCAAACATTTATATTTTGCATCCTCCACCATTTGTGACGAAGTTGTTGGCTTGTCTTCGTCATGTTACGCGAGGTAGCAAATACAACTCAGATATTATCTTTCTTATTATTTATTGAACTACTGTCCTGTTATTACCCACGCCGCTTCCTTCATTTCTATTCCTACCTCATGCAATCTATAGCGGCCTTCTCTCTGTTTACACTAAGCGCAGTTCTATAAATACCATAAGAGCATGTCAATCAACTTAAGTTACTCTACTAAACACTCCCCGCTCTTATTCGCTGCATGCTGTCACTTACTAACGTTACATACCTATTGCTCAAAGTGCTTAAACAATAGTGATCTTTTTTGGCATTTTTCCGGGGAACATGTGTTACGTACGTTTTAGCCATGACTCAACGCCCCATAGACTACATTTTTAAAAAATATATAGACTTCCTTACTCAGTTATCATTTACCATAACTGAATCAATACAACATTTATTGCAACACGATACAAAATATAAAAGTTCCCAAAAATCTCCCGAAAAATACGTGACCGCTTGGCTCTTTATATAATGATATAGACAATGCCAAAACTTACCTGTAGATGTAAAAAAATATAGACAACCGTGGATTTTTGTTCTATAGACTTATATTTTTTTTAAAAAATTGATTATAACATCAACTTCATTCAATTTTATTTTTATAATTGCATTTATATTGTAAATTTTCATCTTCCATGTAAACATACACGACAGCATGAGTAAAGCAATATAAGGCATTAATGTAATTTATAGCTGCAAGGAGAATGGTTGGAAATGGCCATCACCAGACTTTCTACACACAACGAAGAAAGGTACTTGCAGAACTACCATCAACGCTTGACGTACGTCAGCGAGGAAGGCACTGTGTATGTCGCTAATGAGACAGGAATGTAAGTGTGTTTAGAATTGCGACAGGTGTATCGTGGCTATTTCTGAAGTATTTTGATGTGAGATAACAGGCCCGTAGCCAGGGGGGTTCGGGGGGGTCGAAAGAACCCCCCTTTTTGCAGGTAAAAGGTCCCCTCTGGGTGAAATTTAATTAAGGTACATGAAAGTTTCATTGTAAAAGGTCCACTTTTTCAGAAAAAGAACCCCCCCTTTTGAAATTTCTGGCTATGGGCCTGGATAATATTGAAATATTGTGATGGGTGGGATTTGCTGGTTCCAAAGAATTTCTAAAAGCGTCCTTCTGTCAGTGTCAAAGAACAACTAGAGGTTCTGCTTAGAAGGTTGAGTTTGTCAGATGCGTTGAGACGTAATTGTTAACTGTGATAGATAGAGTTTGTTTGATAGAAAATGTGCGTTTCTTATTGTACTTCAGTTGGTCCAACGAATCAGGATGTCTGAAATGGGATTATACCTATAAAACGACAAAACAACCGGGTGTACTGGCAGCCGTAAATGAGGGTGAGAAAAATTAAAAACAAACTAATGGATAAGGGATATTATTATCATTTTTGTTTCTTTCTTGGTCGTTTTTTAAGGCAAAGATTACATTGGCACAATTTAAAAATAATCTAGGGTTTTCATTTTTTGTTTCTTTTTGCCTTGACCAACTATCTAGCTAAAATATTTTTCATGAATTCACATTTTTGTATGCAATAACGATATATTTAACTATTTTTAAAACACTTTAAAACACTCTGTGCCTAGTTTCTTTGACTAATACTCTGTATTACGTTTAGTACTTTCTCCTTTTTTCTCTTTTTAACTGTTTTTATTTTTATTTTAAAAAAATTATTATTATTATTTTTGCTGTCCTGTTCTTCATTTGACTGTCCTATCTGTTTGCAGACGGCAAAATCCTATTTGAAGGTTTTGTCGTTGACATTGCCTACGACTACTATATGTGCGCCAAGTACTTTGCCGACTTAGATGAGTACCAGTTTACTCTTTGGAGCAAAAAAATGTTCTTCAGCGCTTCTGAGGTGGTCAACATAGTTAACCGTATCTCATCGGATCCTTGTCTTAGAGAAAAAAGGTTTTATCCAGTTGTGCAAGACGGACGTAAGTAGATGAACAAATGGCGGGTAATTCTGTACGTGTGTGTGTGTGTGTGTGTGTGTTAGTGTGCTGTGTGAATGAACATTTGCTGTGTGTATGTGGAGGGGGGAGGGGGCTGTGTGTACGCGTGTGCTTATGTGTGTACGTGTGCTTGTGCGTGTGTGTGTGTGTGTGTGTGTGTGTGTGTGTGTGAGTTGGGTGAGCGTGTGTTTGAGAGAAGGAGAGAGAGAGAGAGAGAGAGAGAGTTTTTTTTACTGAATGTGAACTGACGGGATTTTGACTTTTAAATATTTTCAAAAATTCCGGGGAAAGCTTTGTTAAAGACTATGGCTGCAAAGATGACATTGTATTTAACCTCTACAGTTCTCATCTTTCAGTATTAATTTTTTACTTCAGGGTGCGGCCTACCTCCAGGGCAAGAGTAAAACGCTCAACAAAACACTACGTCCAGCGAGTTACTGTAGAGAACAATTTGAGATTTTGAAATCATGTAACTTCGCATCTATTGAATAAAAAGCCGAAATTCTTCATTCTTTAAAGTTTAACATGGTTATAACAAGGAACTTAGATGTATTTTATTTTGAATTAATCGCGTTCGTTTCTAATTTTTTTGGACATAGAACTCAACTTTAGACGTGCAGTAAACGTAAACTCTCTCTCTCTCTCTCTCTCTCTCTCTCAACGACAACACATATAGTAGATATTATGCAATTTATAAAAGGCAAAAATGGCGATTAACAATACATTTGGCTTTTAACAGATTTAATGATACTGCAGGAAAAGAGAAACATTTTTGCCCTGTTTAAAGGGATAATGACTCTTTGTTTTGGCCAAAAAATGAATTTTCCTGGAGTAAACAACAATTTTCCCATACTTACCAATGGTTAATAAATCCATTTTTACATTCAAACTTAGTCCCTGGTTATTATAATTATTCTTTTTGGATAATAAGCAACCTTAGAATCGATTAGATGATGCTGGTAAGCTGTATTGGTACCTCGTCTTATGTAGGATATTCCATGATTTATAGACATCCACTGTATTCGAAAAATACTTGATTTTTGACACGTTATCGCCCTGACAGCGAGTTTTAGTCTTTTTTTAATAATGGTATTATTCTACTCAAAAGTGTTACAAGGTCGAAGCAAAAGTCCCTGACTGAACTTCGATGATGGGGTAATGAATTTACTGTGATTATTGTCGTAGAAAACAGGATGTATTCCACTTAGCAGTAAGTGATATTTTTCCTGTTGGAGTCAGAAGTCAGGGATTGGGCCAGGATCCGCCTGGATAATTGCATTAACTTGGGCCTTATAAATGGGTGCCTTTTATTCTTGCTATTTCCATTTTTAATTTTATTTTCAACGTTTGGTTTCCTGAATTTGGCATTTCCTAATTAGACGTGGTCATTTACCTTAATGTGCAAAATCATGGGACTAAAAATATGCACTGATAACCTTTCATATGAAGTGATTCCAATTAAAGATGGTTTCAGACAATTAATAAAACACAAATCATGAGGACTTTAATAGCGGTCGTGTCCTCATGACATTATTTGTCTTTTTATGAATGCAATTTTCATATTTTTGTACGGAAATTTGTTTTCCTGTTTCTCCCTTAAATCAACCCAGGTTAATTATCCGTGGTAATATAAATTCTTGCTATAAATAAGAACCTGAAAACTAGTACATCTGCGACTGGTCGTCAGATTGAGAAATCTCCTGACAATATCGTTTCAGTGATCAGCTTTCATAAAACAGGTAGGCTGTAGATTTGCGATCGTGTATTTCGATATGGATTCAAGCATATAAGGACAGATGTAGGCCTCGAAAGCAAAATGATCAGGCTATTTTTATGATAACTTTTTCAAAAATAGTATAGAAGTGTTTCGGAAATAACTTATATTAAAAGTATCATTTAAAGTTAACTTTATGAGGGCATTGAACGTCTCATCAAGACGATAAGTAAAGCAGTAAACTATAAAAAATAATGATCTCGAATGCATTGTTATAGTTTGGACAAAAAACACCAGTATTTATTGTTCTTGAAGGAATAACTGAAGATGTTTTCCCTGTGTATTGCCACCGTTGCTGTGTTGGTCTCTCCCAGCCTTGTCCACGCACAGGAGACAGGCACCGGTGAGTGTTTGTGTTTATTGAAATTTTCATTCTTTTTTCGGAAGATGATATCTATTGCAACAGCCAACACTTCTTACATTAAAATCGACTGTAACAACTGTATTTTAGGTTGAAATATAACTTTTATCTTATAAAAGTACAGTTGCTACATACTAAAACTAACTGAGACTGTCCAACTCTCAAAATTACCCAAAATTAACAATGAAGTACACTAAAATTTAGTTGATTTCATTATTTTAAGAACGTAGTATGATGTTTTGATATATAGATTTCAAAAGAAAACCCGACGTATGGTTTGTGCTTAGGGGCACGTTTTAAATAATCGGTTAGGTATGACATTTCCATAGAACATGTAGCCTATTTTTATGCTTTTCAAGTATCCGATAGCACAAAATTACATTAATTGAATTTAAAAACATCTCTGCTATGTTTGTCTTAAAAGGAAAGAAATAATTTAATCAATGCTGGAAAATATGAAGTAAGAATCTGGTTGTAAAGCGGCATCATTTTCAGATTCAAATGTTGAATATTGATTATGATATATGAAAATAAAACAGATAAAAAAATGATTGGCCTTTATTTCCCCACTGATATTAAAAGGCTTTGACGTTCAAACATATTCAAGCTCAAAAATAAACTAAATCTTGATAATTATTTATTTACTTTATTTAATTGCAGTTGTGCGTCTTCGTTCCCAAAACTATCCCGAATATACTTGGGGACTCCATCCTAACGCCGACGCATACATCAAGCAAGGCTTCAGCGGAAATGTTTTCCATATTGTCCCCGGGTTAACCGGACAACCAGGTACAGTGTCCTTCAACTCCGTGGACTACCCGTGCTCCTATCTCCGTCACTATAACTTCTTCGTGAACCTCGAAAGTTCAAAGAGCCCAAGGAATGCTCACATCTTCGACAAGGACGCCACGTTCCACCCTCGACCTGACAAATTTCTTCAAGGATACACGGCCTACGAGTCGGTGAACTACCCTGGGCACTTCATCCGCCATGCTGGCTACAGACTGCAGATACGTAGAGACGACGGCTCTCTCCTGTTTAAGAAAGATGCCAGTTTCAAAGCTGAGCCAATTGGTACGTAGACAGTTAGTTATTTACAACTGAAATTGTAACGAATTTTGTTGATCTTCTGTCCAGTTGATATGGTGCGCCCAATCATTGTTTTGTCTGTGAAACAGGATGGTATAGATGAAAGGAGATATCTTAAATATCATAATTTGTTGTCAAAACTCATACGAAAGAGCATTTATAATTTGAGACCGCGTTTCTCTCTCTCTCTCTCTCTCTCTCTCTCTCTCTCTCTCTCTCTCTCAGATGTCTGTGTGTGTTTGCCATTGCGTTGCATGCATATATTTTTGGAGAAGAAATTGCAAAAAATAATTCTTATAATTTCAGTGTTGCTGGAAAGATGTGGCAGTTAAATTCCAACTCGCCATATGCCAAGGGCAGAGACGCATACACGTCCAAATAAAATGCCATATTTGGTGAAATTATTAATGGAATAAAATAGTGTTTTAAACATTTTATTGAAGAATTATTTTTAGATACTTTTTTATTCAATAAACTAACGATCTTTTAAAACTGTTGAAATAGAACAGTAATCAGTATAGGGCTTGACACGGTTCTTGTGTAAAAGATACATTTAAACATCTTTAATTCACTTTTCCTTGTAACATAGCAAAACACACGTGCATTCACACTTTAATAGCACGTGACGTCACTTTCGCCAGACTGTCGTTTCTTTCATCAGCTGAGACAACACTACATCAAGCCATACAAATAAACAATGAATGTTTGACGTAGACGCGATCTTTAACAAACAAATTTGGTTTGTTTTACATGTTATTTTTACATGTGAAAACTTATAGTGTATTAAGAAGTAAACCTACATATATAAAAAAAAATTGCGGAAACTAAAATATAGTCCGTCTGAACAGGAATTCCATTAGATAATTGTAATCCAACAGAAGAAGATTTTTGTATTGTTCTATCCCCATTTATATTATGAGGGACCATATCAATATTAAAACTTCTAAAACCAAATTATCCTCATTCTTTAAACAGATGATCAAAAGGAATAATAACATGAAAATTTGGCCAATTTCACGGTGTGCTAGCTGTGGCAGGTAATATTCGCTGTGTTAGATGGGCCCCATTTTGATTGCACTGGCCTGCAAGCATCTTTATTTTTAATTATTTCACAAAACCTTTAAAAAGTATGCCAATGTATATTAACGAATAACCGAGGCATCCTATTTCAACCATACAACCATCAGGGTGCGACGCTTTTGGATATGCAAACTTGGTTTTTTCAAACAAGTCGCACAATTCAGAAAGAAGTGCATTAATTAAAATTAATATATATCTTCACCTTACATACTTAGTCTCCAAAATCATAAGCAATACAAAACGGCGTTTTAATGATATATGCCTCTCGAAATTTGCATGGAATCCGATATGGCAGCTGTAAGTGACCCTTTACCAGGGTGGCAGATTATATAGGGAAAAAGGGGAAAAGCCAGAGATAGTAAAATGACCGTCTTTTTATCTAATGAAATATCTGTGAATATCCTGTGAAAAGTCAACCTGTGGCCCAAGTAGAGAGTAGCTGTAAGTATCTTTTCAAAAATCGAGCAGACATTCTAACAGGTGTTTGTTTTTTTTCACACCTGGCAGGATGGAGAATACTTTATGTGTATGTGGGGTAACTAGCTCTTGTAATGCACTTGTATAAAATACCTGTATAACATGTACTATGAATATTGGTCTTTCATTAAACATGTTGCCATAGCAACTAACTTTACAGGGTTAACCATCACTTTGTCCATTACAGAAAAGGGGGGGGGGAGGGAAGCCGTCTGCGCAACATAAATTATTTTTCTGTAAACACCAAGAAAAAACAAAGAGAAAAACAGAGAGAAAGAGAAAACAAAAGAAAGAGAAGGCCACGGTGGGAAATGCGAAGTTGGAGTTAAATTGCGTTACCAGTCTCCAAATACAAATATAATTATTTATATGTAAATAACACATGAGACAATCAACAGCAGCAAGCAAGCAATGGTGGATGTGATGAGTAGTCAACACAGCACATACCCGCTTTCTAAAAGCAAAGATAACATCGCAGATTTTATTAACTTGCACGTCAGAGAGCTCGGCCAATCAGTGTGCAGGCATGAGAAATCATAAGCTATAAACCTGTATTAAATCAAACTTCCAGGTACACGCATATAACTCACAGTCTCATTTCAGAAGAAGATCACACATCGCGCGAACCTCATGTCTTCAATTTTCTTTTTCTTGATGCTGGCAGTCTACACGGTAACAAACGCAGACCCCGTGCTGGAAAAGTATAGGAATG